AATGGGTAGAGAACATAAGGGATTTTTAGGGCAGTGAAATTATTCTGTATGATACTATATGGGTGAATATATGTCATTATACATTTGTCAAGACCCACAGAATGTGTAACACAAAGAGTAAATCCAATATAAACTATGGTCTTTGGTTGATAATGATGTGTCAATGTTGACTCATTGATTGTGACAAATAAATGTACTGTACTGATTCAGGATGTTGATGATGGGAGAGGTTATATGTGGAGAGGGGGAGGGAAGTGGGAACTTTCTGCACTTTCTGTCCAGTTTTGCTCTGAACCTAAAACTGCTCTAAAAATAAAGTGTAGTTATGTATATATAGAGACAAGCCAAGAACTGGGAGATATATGTATCTTTAAAAATTATGTACTTTATATTATAATTATAGTATATTATTTAATATAATATAATTCTTTAAATAAATATTCTTTAAATATTCTAAAAAATACATCAATTTAATCTACCATACTAATAGTCCAAGGAAGAAAAAGTCCAGAAAAAACATTTGACAAAATTCAACATCCACTCATGATGAAAACTTTCAGCAAACTGGGAATAGAGAGGAACATCTTTAATGTGATAAGAGGAGTCTGTGAAATACCTAGAGGTAACATCATATTAAATAGTGAAAGGCTAAACAGTTTCTCCTAAGAAGAATGAGGAAAGGATGTCCACTCTCACCACACATGTTCGACAGTACTAGAAGTCCTAGCGCATGTACTAAGGCAAGGAAAATAAGTAAAAGGCACTCAGGTTGTAAAGAGAGAAAGAAAACTGTCCCAATTTGCAGACAACATAATTGTCTATATAGTAAACCCAAAGGAATCTACAAAAACTCATGGAACTAAACACGAGTTTAGAAAGGTTTTGTGGGGGTGCCAGGGTGGCTCAGTCGTTAAGCGTCTGCCTTCGGCTCAGGTCATGATCCCAGGGTCCTGGGATCGAGCCCCGCATCGGGCTCCCTGCTCAGCGGGAAGCCTGCTTCTCCCTCTCCCACTCCCCCTGCTTATGTTCCTTCTCTCACTATGTCTCTCTCTGTCACATAAATAAATAAAATCTTAAAAAAAAAAAAAAAGAGGGGCGCCTGGGTGGCTCAGTTGGTTAAGCAACTGCCTTCGGCTCAGGTCATGATCCTGGAGTCCCGGGATCGAGTCCCGCACCTGGCTCCCTGCTCGGCGGGGAGTCTGTTTCTCCCTCTCCCACTCCCCCTGCTTGTGTTCCCTCTCTCGCTGTCTCTGTCAAATAAATAAATAAAATCTTAAAAAAAAAAAAGTCACAGGATACTAGGTCAGTAGAAAAATATCTAGTTTCTAGCGATTGCCAAATGGAAACTTGAACAATACCATTAAATACCATTAAAACAATACCATTTATAGTGGCTCCAAAAATTTAAATAGGCAGGTATGAATCTACCAAAACATGTACATGAATGCTGCTGTATGCTTAAAACTGCAAATGCTGATACAGAAATCAAAGAAGACCTAAATAAGTGGAGAGGCATTCTGTGTTCATGGATTAGAAAATGCAACATAGTAATGATGTCAATTTTGCCTAAATTGATCTATAGATTTAATGAAATTCGAATCAATATCCCCGCGGAATTTTTTGTAGATATAGACAAACTAATTCCAAAATTTATTTTGTAAGGCAAAGGAACTAGATAACTAAAACAATTTCGAAGAAGACCAAAGTTGGAGGGATCGTTTTAGCCTATTTTAGGATTTACTAGAAAACTACAGTATCTGAGCCAGTGTGGTATTGGCAAAGGTACAGACACATAGATTAAATAGAAAGTCCAGAAATAGACTCACACAAATATGGCCAATTGATTTTTTTTTTTTACAAAAGTGCAAAAGCAATTAAATGGAAAAGAATAGTGTGTTCAAAAACTAGTGTTAGAACAATTGGATATCTATATCCAAAAAAATAATAATAATAACCCTAACTTAAATCTCATACCTTATACAAAAAATAACTCAAAAATAAAACTATAAAACATTTAGAATAAAACAAAGGAGAAAATATTTGTGACCTAAGGTTAGGCAAAGAATGATTAGACATGATGCCAAAAGCATGATGCATTTAAAAAAATAGTGAGATACACTTCACCAAAATGTACAACTTTGCTCTGCAAAAGACAATTAAAAGAATGAAAAGACAAACTACAGACTAGGAGAAAATATTTGTAAATCACATATTCAACAAAAGACTTAAATTCAGAATACATAAAGAATTCTTAAAACTCAGTTGTAAAAAAGAAACAACCCAATTTAAAAATGGGCAAAACACTTGAACAGACACTTCATTGAAGATACACAGATGGCAAATAAGCACATTAAAAGATGCTCTACGTCATTAGCCGTTAGGGAAATGCAAATTAAAACCACAAAGAGATACCATTATATACCTTTCAGAATGGCTAAAAAACCAAACAAGCAAAGAACCCTCCCCCCACAAAACCGACCTAAACAAACCAAACCAAACCAAAACAAAACAAAAAAACCCAAACAACTAATAATACCAAGTGCTGGAGATGATGTAAAGCAACTGGAATACATTGTTGGGAGGAAAGCAAAATGAAACAGCTACTCTTGAAAACAGTTTGGTATTTTTGTATAAAGTTAAACACACATATTTACATATAACCCAGAAATCTCAGTTCTGGGTATTTACCCTAGAAATAAATACTTATAGTCACTCAAAAATCTGTACAAGAATGTTTGTGTCAGGTCTAGTCATAATAGCAAAAAAAGAAAAAGAAAAGGAACACCCAAATGTACTCTGGCAGTTGAATAGATAAATTGTGATGGATCATATTTCATAATATGATGGAATACTACTCAGCAACCAAAAGGAGCAAATCACTGATAAGTACAATATAGATGAATCTCAAAAACTAGGCTGAGTGAAAAAAGCCAGACACAAAAGAGTACATAGTGCATAATTCCATTTATTTGCAATTCTAGAAAAAAGCAAAAGTAAATTATAATGACAGAGAGCAGATCAGTAGTTGTTGGGGGATTGACTACAAAAGGGCAAGAGGGAGCTCTTTGAGTGATAGAAATATTCTATATCTGGATCGTGGTGGTGGTTACATGGGTATAGACATTTATTAAAATTCAAAGTTGAAATGTTCACATCTTATGACCTAGCCAGCTCACTTTTAGATATAGAGTGATGTTTATTAAACTGCTGGTAGAGGCCCATTATTAGTGAACCATTAAAGCAATGTAGTGTGACTCCTTAGAGGGGTATTTACCCTGAAACTAAAGATGGTTAAGCTTCAGGCTCCTTCACTTGCAAAGCTTCTTCCAAGGCCTGGTTACTAATTTTGTATTCATAATTTTGTATTCTTTTTCTAAAGGGGGTCCCCAAATTGTATAAATTTTAGGCAAATTTAGACAAAACCTAGATTGCCTCTGGATGGCCAGATTTTTTTAAATGAAATGGAATAGAAAATAATGAGAATGTTTTATTAAACATTTGTTTCATTTTATACAATGGTTCATGACTTAAAAATTTGTCTTTTGCCAGGGTTTGTGTTTAAGGGAAAAAAAGAGAAAGAAAGAAAGTTGGATATTCAGTGTTGTGTGGCGACTACGGACGTATGTGTACATTCAATGCAACACTGTAAAAGTAAATATTTGGAAATAACCTAATGCCCATTAATACGAGAATAATATAGAGTTATATGTATGTTGTGGAATTCTGTATAGTTAAAACGAAGGGACTAAAGGTACATACATCAGGCTAGATGACTCTCATAAACCCACCATTAAGTATTAAAAAAAAAAAAACAAAAAACCACCCACAAGTTAAAGGTTACCTAAAGCCCAATATTTAGATAAAGTTTAAAATCATGTGAGAAACAATAGTAAGTCTAGTGAATTTTAATGTATTGTTTGCAGATATAGTCATTCTACAGTACAAGTGTTAAAATATGTATGAAGCTGATAAATTCAGAATAGGATAGTGGTTACTTCTGGGGAGGAAGGAGAGAGGGAGGGAATGATATCAGAACACACAGGGCTTTGTTTTTATATGCAATTTTTATTTTGTTAAATTTAATAAGGCTAGTTGGTAGATGTGTGGGATTTTTGCTGTATTATTCCGAATTTTCTGATTGTGTTATATTCCGTATGCATATTGCTTTGTTGTAAACATTGGTAATAAATATTATTTCATATTTGTGTCATGTGGGCATTTACACACATCACACCACTTAATCCTCATGATGACCTTATGCAGTAAGTAGGGCAGTTATTATTATTCCTATTCTACAGTTAAGGAACCTAAAACTGCAGAACAATTTGTTAAAAATTGGATTGGGGACTCTGTTGTTTCTTATTTCGTGGAAATATGATTTGCATGGAAATACGCTGGTGAAGTTTCCTTCAAGTCCAGCCACTCCCTCCTACCGAAACCTTGGTAAGGCACTTACTCAATGGGGGAATGAATTGTATTAACAATAGCTAAACGTTTGTTCAAAAAGTAGTCATTCGAAAGTACCGGAGGAGACCTCCAATAATGACTTTGTGACGCGGAGGATACATATTTACAAGTCAATTCTTCGGAGGCACAGGCGGGTTTTCTGCTGGCCACCGCCCCCTGGCTCACTCAGTGACCTTGGACAAATCACTTAACCTTTCACTATTTACAATCCAGTAAACCGAATGGGTAATATTCATGACTGCTCACTCAGGGCTCCTGCCAAACACTTTTTTTGAAAATTAGGGACCGATTTAAGGTCAATCATAATGCAACAATGTCAACTTTCCAATGCAAATATTCTCCAAGCCCCTTATTCCTCAAAGACTGTTTCCCCTCTCATTTAAATGGTGATGTCTTATTTTATTTTATTTTATTTTTTTTAAGATTTTATTTAATTTTTAGAGAGCGAGCGAGAGAGAAACAGCAGGAGAGGGGAGAGGGTCAGAGGGAGAAGCAGGCTCCCCGCCGAGCCGGGAGCCCGACGTGGGACTCGATCCCAGGACCCTGGGACCATGACCCGAGCCGAAGGCAGACGCTTAACCATCTGAGCCACCCAGGCGCCCGGTGATGTCTATTTTAAAGGAGAATGAATTTATACTTTCTGAAGATGAATAACTTTTGTCACCAACTTACGAATGCCTTTTCTGAAAAAATTAAACCGACGCCTAACCAGACAGAATAAAAAGTCATCAATTTCTATTGCATTGCCCTTCCCCGCTGTAGTGGCTCTCGGAGATTTTTGAAAGCAAGCCGTTTGTTCACCGTAATGTTTAGAACCTTGTATCAACACTGATCCTGCTTTATGAAAATCCTGTAGGTTCTGGGTATCCTGGTGTGGAAGGAGAGCAGAGCGGCTCCAAATCCAGGCAAATAGGGACAGATGAACTAGGAACCGGGGCGTCCAGGCTAGTTCCGACTTCGGCCGCGAGTTGGAGCGGCTGTGGTGTAGGGCTTGGGACTGGCCCTGGAGGCTTCTGGCAAGGAACTTGAGCCCCCTCGCGGCCGAACTGCCCGCAGAGGCCCCAGGCCCCTTTAAGGCGCCCTGCGGGCAGACCCGGAGCAGAGGGGGCGGGAGGACGGCTCGCGAGCGCACGCCACGTGACTCGGCTGCCAAGTGCGCTCGCGAGTTTGACAGAAGTTTGAATCGGCCTCGGGGGCTTTCTGCAGCCGCAGGGGCAGAGCGGCGGTCCCGGCCGCGGCGAGCGCCCGCTGCAGCGCCCGCGCCCCCCGCCCCGCCAGCCTGGAGTCCGCGCCGCCGACCGCGGCCCGCGCTACCGCACCGCTCGCTGCCCCCACCGCCGGTCAGCAGCCCCCAGCCCCGCCGCGGTGCCCGCCGCAGCCTCCCGGCCAGGGAGCCGAGCCCCGGCGCTGCGCCCCGGCCCCGCTGTGCCAGCATGTCTTCGACGGAGGGCTCGAGTCACGCGGCGGACAAGTCGCCGCGCCCGCAGGTATTCCCCGCGCGCCCCCGGCGCTGTCTTACCACCCCTTCTCCACCTGGGTGTCAGGCCGGACCCTTTTTCCGCCCCCTCTCCCGACTGTGAGTGGGAGGAGGACCAGCGCTTTCTCGGGTCCCCCGCCGCCCTGACCGCTCGCCGGCCCTGTCTCCGCAGGTGGACCGCCTGCTGGTGGGGTTGCGCTGGCGGCGGCTGGAGGAGCCGCTGGGCTTCATCAAAGTTCTCCAGTGGGTGAGTCGATGCTCTAGCCGCGGGCTATTTCGGGAGCCTGGGCTGTGACGCTGACCCGAAGCAATGTGGCCGGAGTGGGGGGCGGGGAGGTGCTGCGGCCGGCCGTGACGGCAGGGTGGGGGGCGGCGACAGGTGGGCGGGGGAGGGGCGGGCTGGGGCTGCTTCTCCAGCACTTGGTGGCAGGAGGGCGAGGAGCAAGGCATGCGGAGTCCGGGATTCGGTCCTTCTATGTGCAAGGAGCCCTTGCCCAGGGCGCTCACATTTCACCCGGGCGAGAGGAGCCGGGTGTAACCTTTCCAGAACTCTGATCCTGCACATACCACTCCTCGGTGGCGGGAGGGGGGAGGAGGACAAGGAGGACGAGGAAAGCCACGGAGGGCAGAGGAGGGAAGGAGGCGGGCGATGGAAACCATCCTGCCCCCCAACCCACCGTCACTAGATCTTGAAGGTGGGCTCCAGGGACAGGGTCCTGGCTGGCAGTTGTCCTGTTGAGGTCACTAGAGTAATCTGGGTTCCTGTGACTGAGTGAAAGGGTGAATGAATGAATGAATGAATGAATGAATGAATGAATGAATGAATGAAGTCTATGACTCTAGGATTAAATAAAAGAAAAAATATTCAGACAATAAAAATCACACTGTGGCCAAAATGTGGCTTGTAGAATAAGATAAAACACTGAGTAGGGAAGCTGGGGCTCTGGGTTTCAGACGTGGACCTGCCTTTTCCAGCTTTGTGACCTTGGGCAAGTCACTTCTTTGGACCTCAGCTTCCAACATTAGTTAACTGTTGATCACACCATTTCCAGGGTCCCCTTCTGCTCTCAACTGGTTGGTATGCCAGAATATTGCCCTTCATTAGACTCACCCCGTGACCTTGAAGAAATCACTTGCTCATTGCCTCAGTTTCCTCTGTAATAGTCTAGGAGAAATACATCTCGTTACCTCACTGGTACTTTGAGATATTGGTATATTCTCTGTCCTTACCAGTGCCCAAGGCCTCCTGAGTGTAAGTTAGGAATGTGGACAGGTGCAGTCACTCTTTCAAATCATGGAAACTTGTTGGGAGCATTTAGTACACTATAACAGAGGAGATTTAAGTTAGACAATCCACACACCAAATGGTGTGTGACTAAATTAATGTGCTTTCAGCCCAGAATTCAGCTAAGGAATAAGTTACCATTAAGACTGAGGAGGATTGGGCGCCTGGGTGGCTCAGTTGGTTAAGCGACTGCCTTCGGCTCAGGTCATGATCCTGGAGTCCCGGGATCGAGTCCCGCATCGGGCTCCCTGCGGAGCAGGGAGCCTGCTTCTCCCTCTGCCTCTGTCTCTCTCTCTCTCTCTCTGTCTCTCATGAATAAATAAATAAAATCTTTAAAAAAAAAAAAGACTGAGGAGGATTGAGTTCTAAAGGACTTTTAAATCATAGGAGACAAGAGTGAGCACTGTGTCACTGATTCCTGAATCATCGTTTGGATGGGAATCATCAGATCTGGAATTCAGGGGCAATAGTGCATTTGGAGTTATCTTCAGATATCTGAGACCTTGACTGGGGCTATAAGCCAGGCAAGGAGCTCCCAAGTGCAAACTCTGGGACCCGGTGGGGACTTTCCACTCTCCCTACTGCCTCAAGAGCAGTTGGATGGACTGCTGACTGAGCAATTTCACCTCCCCCCCTCCACTTCCCTATTCTGACCCACCACTTGAGTACCAGTGGTGGCCATGTAAGAATGATATTAAGGCTCCATGTGACTGCCATCCACAACTAGGGAGCCATTATGAGGAGCAGAACCTGAAAGGTAAGAGTATAATTTTATCATTAAACTAGACAAATGGATCTAAGGGAAATTTGAGAAAGACTGTCAAGGGATAAGGAAAACAATGAGGTTATTAGACCATGGAATCATCCTTCGTGGGGGGATTCTGAAAAGCTTCCCTCTTCAATCCTTCTATCCTTTTCTCAATGCCCCCCCACCACCCCCAATCCACATTTCTATAAAGGCTGCACAAAACAATGCCTAGGAAAATGATCCTGTCTCCTCTCAGGGTCAGCACTGATCCCTAAGAGTTAAGACCCATTTGACTTTTATGATCCTCAACTTCTTAGAGAGGGGGTGATGCCTTTCTCTCATAGCGCTAAATCCGGGGGCCCAGGGCTAGACTCTGAACTCAGCCTTCATGCGAAGGGCAGCATCAAAGGGAGACATGATTGGCTTTCACTGCCATCCTGGCAGCCTAGCGTGAGTTTCACTTGCCCTGAGTCTCTGCAGGATGAGCTCATGTAAAGGTGCACAGGAACCAGCACCAGAAATGACAGAGAAAATGTCATTTGGGATTTTCACTCATTTCCTGCTTGGGGGGATCAAATGCTCCTGGGCTGGAAAAGGAAAAAAAGAAAACACAGATCTTGCATTTATTGTAATGATGCTTGAAAACTTTTGTTGTCATTGTTATCCAAAAGCAATTTTGCTGGAATCCTGAAAAGAAGAAAGCAATATTAGGCTTTTATCAGTTAGGGGCTTGGCTTAGAGTGTCTTTTTTTAAAATTCAGAAATTAATCTCACCTCAATTCCAATTCTGGACCAAGTCCTCACCAAGTCCTCACAAAGCTAGCAAAATAACATGGGTATAGATCAATTATTAAAGAATGGTTTCCTAAAAAAAGAAAAAAGGCAGATTTTGAGGTTGAGGGGCTTTGGTTTAAATTGAGTCTCCTCTATTTTCTAGCCATAGAGTCTAGGGTACCTAGGGTAAGTAACAAAATCTTTGTGGGCCTTGGTTTCGTATATGTAAATGAGGGTGAGATCTATCTCATGGGTTCACTGGGAGGATATAGGAGGTGATTTTTGTAAAGCATTGAAGCATTCAGTCCAAGCAGTCCAGGAGATATTCAATGAGTGTTGGTTCTCCTTTCCCCTGTTCCTAAACCTCTTCTTTCCCCTAAATTTCTTCTTTATGCAGACTGTCAGCTAGACTTGTCCTTTAGTTAGATTACTCAAATGTCACTGCCAAATCCTCGCTTTGAGGGTAAGGCACAAAGGAATCTCCTGGATTACTCAGTCACTATTCCCATAGTAAGTCATATTATCATTAACTGGGTGTACCCCTGATCAGTAATTTACCTTTGAGTTGCCAAAGCCACTTACTTGGCTCTCGGGTCTCTGTAATGAAAATAAGCTATTTCAGTTGGTGTGGGGGAATGCGAAAGAATACCATCAGAGTCCATAAAACCAATGAGATGACTGTTGGGGTAAGAGTAGGGGGAAACCTTGTCTTCCTTGTGTCCCGCACTAACTGGGGATGGGAGTGATGTCAAAGGATCATCACCATCAAGCAAGTCGGCACCAGACTGGTGAGGTTATTCTGACACCCTTCCCAAAGAGAAGCAGAGACAGGAGGAGGAGGGCATGGAGAGCAGTGTATGACCATCGCTGTCCCCAGCAATACAGGGCCAAGAGGAGGAAGGCTGGTTGGCATCAGAACTTCAGAGATCCGCATCCCTCTCCTCCACTGTCTCAGGGACTCCATCTCTCCTTGGCTCTTGTTCTTTTTGAGCAGTTTGCCCAACTCAGACCCTTGTGTTGGGTGACATGGATGGTTTCAGTTCTTTCCTGCTCTTCTCTGTGCCTCAGTCACCTGGCACATTTAGGGAAGAAGGCAAATCTGATTAGGAAAGGTGGAGGGGACGGGGTCAGGGTGTCTTCCTCTGCTCCTGCATCCCAGGTGCAGAGCTACTCCCTGCCTCCTTACAATCTTCACTGAACATAGGAGCTCTCTCTCTTTTTTTTAGCCTTAATAACTTTGTGATGCAGAATTTTATTTTGCTTGTTTGAGCATGACACTTTTTTCCTTGACGTAAACTCGAAAGAGAAGGTACCAGGTCTTATTCATCTTTGTGTCACCAGCACTTGGCACATAGGTGATGGTCAATAACTGTTTGTTGATTAATGAATGAATGAAGTAGAAAGAGCACTGGACAGGGAATCAGGAGATGTGAATTCCAAGGCTGGCTCTCATGATAGCTAAATATGACTTTGGGAGAGTCACTTAATCTTTTGGGACTTTAGTTTCCACCTCTGTAAAATGAGACCATTGGGCTTAATAATCTCTGAGATCTTTTTTTTTTTAAGATTTTATTTATTTATTTGGCAGAGAGACAGTGAGAGAAGGAACACAAGCAGGGGGAGTGGGAGAGGGAGAAGCAGGCTCCCCGCCGAGCAGGGAGCCCTATGCGGGGCTCCATCCCAGGACACTGGGACCACGACCCGAGCCGAAGACAGACACTTAATGACTGAGCCAGCCAGGTGCCCCTAAGATTTTATTTATTTATTGGTCAGAGAGAGCGAGAGAGCACAAGCAGGGGGAGAAGCCGGCAGAGGGAGAAGCAGGCTCCCCGCTGAGCAGGGAGCCGATGTGGGGCTCAGTCCCAGGACCCTGGGATTATGACCTGAGCCGAAGGCAGCTACTTAACCAACTGAGCCACCCAGGCATCCCTGTCTGAGATCTTTTTTGCTCTGCTGTCCTGTGAACCTGTGAGGTTCCCCTCAGATTTTTCCCTTCATCCACTTACCTAGCAAACTTTATGTTTTCTGACATCAGATGACTGTGTGATGTTCAGATTTAATTATATATTCTGATTGACAAAGAGCTGTGTAAGGTGGTTAGGGATTCCTGACTTTCAAAGACTCAGAAGAGAAGAGGATACAGCTAGGACTAAAGCTATTCGTGGTATATTTCACTCTTTGAGGAATCATAGAGCAGGGTTCAGGATTTTCAGAACTTCAAGGTTATCATCTAGCCATAGCAGAACTTTGGACAGTGATGGTAAAGTTCTGTGATCTGTGTTGTCCAATATGGTACTTGCTAGTCACATGTGGCACTTGAAATGTGGTTCGTGTGACTGAGCAGCTGAATTTTTTATTTTATTTAATTTGAATGAATTTGAATGTAAATAGCCACACTTGGCTGGTGGCTACCATGGTGGATAATGCAGCTCTAGAGTACGAGTTCCATGAAGACAGAGATTTTTCTCTTCTTTTCACTACTAAATGATAGTGCTTAGAACCGTACCTCGTACACAGTAGATGCTCAGTAAGTGTCATCTTTCTGTAGATATGCCTGTCAGGGAAGTGCTGGTGAAGAGAAGGCCCCACAACTGACCATTCATTGCCCCAAGTTAGGAATACCTATTTTCTTAGGGGACCTATATAGAGCTACCTGCCAATGGGTAAAAATATATCCAACTGTGCTGCCCTTCCTAGAATGTGACACCCTAATGGGCCAGAAGCTAGGAGGAATAAAGAAACCTGTAAGAGGCTCACAGAGCTGACAAAAATTCGAGAATTCCCATGAAGAAGAGCTGGAGAAGCACCACTGTTATGCCAGTGAGGACGCTTGGAGTATATAAAGGGTAATGATGCAGAGGCTTTGGGCAACTTCTCTTCAGCTCGGTCAACATGAGCAAACAGGGCTCTACACTTCAGCCTCTGTAAATTAAGCCAGATGAGGAGGTTATTCAGGCATTGGGGAGAGTTATGCTCTCTCCTTTCCTGGATGTGTGGTTTTTTTTTTTTTTTTAAGATTTTATTTATTTAACAGAGACAGAGATAGCGAGAGCAGGAACACAAGCAGGGGGAGTGGGCGAGGGAGAAGCAGGCTTCCCTTGGAGCAGGGAGCCGGATGCAGGGCTCAATCCCAGGACCCTGGGATCATGACCTGAGCCAAAGGCAGATGCTTAACGACTGAGCCACCCAGGCGGCCCTACTGGATGTGTTTTAAAAATGGAGACCATTCTCATTTGTCTGAACTAAACCTCCTGGAAACAGAGAGGTGCCCATTATGACCTTTAGAGAGGGGTCAGCGGCTCCAGCATGGAGAAGATCTTCCAGGCCAGGCGATGCAAGGCGGGGCAGGGGCAACGGGCACGACCCAGGGGCAGAGCACAGCTGCTGGTCAGCCCAGCCAAGAGCACACTGACTGCATTACCCTCATCCAGTGAAAGCAAGGCCTCTCGATTGCCTGCTCCAAACCCCTCCTTGTACAGATGAGAAAACTGAGACTCAGAGAGCAGAGCAATTTATTAGAGTTCACCCAGCTAATGAGTGACCCGGACCAGGGCTAGAACCCAGATTTCCAAACTCCTAACCCAGGTCTGTTTTTACTCCATAACGCTACCAAGCATTAGCAAAATCATGTGCACACAACTCTATTCTAAACTCTGGGTGCAAGCCTGGGACGTGGATGAGCTGTCTTCTAGGTGCTTAATAATGTCCAAGACACCAAGACACAGAGAAACACACAGAAAACAATCATTAACAGAGGAAGCTCTGTGCTTACTAAGAATGATTCCACCATGTACAAGCCTGTACAAGGTAAGTGCACAGGAAATGGGGCCTGAACAGATGAGGTGGGAGGATCAGAGATTCCAGCTTCTCACCTCCTTTTCGAACCAGTGTGTTTCCCCAGAAAGAAATGCTAAAACCGTAGGTTGAGGACATTTCATTTCACTTAAGACAGGAGGTTTAGCAAAATGTGATGAAAGGTGAAGAGGAAAACAATTCAAGTGATCTGAAATGCCTCTGGTTCTTAACACTGAGCAATGGCAGCATCAGCAGATTACAAAGGGAAACACCACTGGGGAAAGAGTGGAGGCTGATAAGGCAAGTGGAAGCTACTTTTCTCTGGGCTTGAGCCAGGACTGTCGCTGCAAGGAAAAGGACCTTTGGGGGAGGAGAAGTTAGGCTGGCAGAGCGAGGGACAGCTCCCCGCCTGGCCCCTCTGAAGGCTTGGCAGAAGTTGTCCCTTCTAGCTATACGTGAGGCAGGAAGCCACTGGAAGGTAGCGACAAGGGAACAAGATTCAATGACAGCTCCAGAGGAGAAATGGAAGGAATTCCAGCACATGCCTGATCCCAGTTGGCACAGAGCTATCTATTTCTAGGGTGCCTCTCCCTTGGGGAGGAAATTCAGGTCCAGCTTTATGCTAGACGTTTCCAAAAGCCTGAACTGCTTTGTGTTCGTCGTCATCTTAAGGAGGCTACCTGTCACACCCAATGGGAAGATGTGGAAACTATCCATTTGCTCTCTGTACGTCTCCCTCCAGACACGCTTGTACGTGATGGAATCATTCTTAGTAAGCACAGAGCTTCCTCTGTTAGTGATTGTTTTCTGTGTGTTTCTCTGTGTCTTGGTGTCTTGGACATTAAGCACCTAGAAGACAGTTCATCTACATCCCAGGCTTGCACCCAGAGTTTAGAATAGAGTTGTGTGCACATGATTTTGCTAATGCTTGGTAGCATTATGGAGTAAAAACAGACCTGGGTTAGGAGTTTGGAAATCTGGGTTCTAGCCCTGGTCACTCATTAGCTGGGTGAACTCTAATAAATTGCTCTGCTCTCTGAGTCTCAGTTTTCTCATCTGTACAAGGAGGGGTTTGGAGCAGACACCACTCCAAGTCAACCTCATTCATTTGGCTATTTGGTCTGGCACTCGGGTGCAGTGAACACAGCATCCTGAGGCAGGAAGGCCAAGGGAAGCCATGAGTCCCTGCCCAGGAGGGATTTGATTAAAGGAAATCCTCCTCCACCCCCATAACTGTACCTGCTGAGAGTCAGAAGGTGGTTCTGAGGGGATATACCTTGGCCAGTTGAGGCCTTCTGACTCTCAAAGGGCTTCCCTCTCCCTCAGCTCTTTGCTATTTTCGCCTTCGGGTCCTGCGGCTCCTACAGTGGAGAGACAGGGGCAACAGTTCGCTGCAACAACGAAGCCAAGGATGTGAGCTCCATCATTGTTTTGTTCGGCTATCCCTTCAGGTGAGCAGGAATTGATTTTGACCCCACACAGCCTCTCTTGCTGGTTTGGCAGGACCTGCTTGGACTCTTCCTCTTCCAGAAGCCTAAAGACCTTTTGTTTAGTGCCACTTCGGTTCAAATAGAACTACAAGACTTCGGTCCTTCCTGCCCTTTAGGAATTTCAGACACACTAACCATAGAAAAATGTCAGGGAAACTCAGATAGGTCATTGTTATAATAATGTTCCAGTCCATAGATAACCAATAGCAGGTAACAAAGTTCCTACAGAAAGAACCCATGCAGTTTGGAATGGAGGCTAGTTGGACAGGTCTCTCTGACCTTCAGCGACCTCCTCCCTGCCTTGAAGGTTAGGGAGCTTGTTAGTACTTAGATCCTAAAGAGTTGATGTGGGGTACCTCACCTGGTACACTAGAATACAAGGAGATATACCTTGACCAGGAGGTAGAAAAGAATACTCTTTCCTGGCTATTTGGGAGCCTAGGGAGGGGAGTCCCAACTGCTCAGAAGAGAGCTGGGGACAGGGCTCGCCTTTTCAGAAATTTTTAGTACCAACGGCCAAGTTAGGTTAATATCTCTTGTATATAACAGGGTTTTGTTTTGTTTTGTTTTGTTTTGTTTTCTGTCCTTATTTTGTCCCATATAGTCTCATGGGGAAGGGGTGCTAAATAAGGCCTGAGAATGGGAAAGTCCAACCTTAACCTGGCCACTGTGGGCCTGTGCTCTCTGGGGGGCAAAATGAAGCTGATCTCCCTGGTGGTTTGGCTACCAGAAATAGATGCACTATGTATATTGTGGTTGTGACCTAAAGGGCCCTGGAGATACCTGGAAATACATGGTCACCGTATCTGGGCAAGTTGGATGAGGGTGCGGTAGTGGCTGAATGGGAGGTAGAGTTGGACCAGATTTCTGGGGATGTTTCTGTCTTGACTGCAAGGTTGGCTCCAGAAACATTCCTCCCCCCATGTCCCCTTTCTTGGCTCTGTTAAGAGTCCCAGGGTGAGAAGTAGCGCAGGACTATTCCCAGCGCAGGGACAGTCCCCTGCCTCCACAGGGAGGGTATTGCCCCAAGCTCAGGATGACACTCCCCTGCCACCCACAGGTTGAACCGGGTCCAGTATGAGATGCCCCTTTGCGATGAGGACTCCACCTCCAAGACCATGCACCTGATGGGGGATTTCTCTGCTCCCGCCGAATTCTTTGTGACCCTGGGCATCTTCTCCTTCTTCTACACCATGGCTGCGCTGGTCCTTTACCTGCGCTTCCACAACCTCTACACAGAGAACAAGCGCTTCCCGCTGGTGGTGAGTGGGCATTGGCCAGGAGGAATGGGGTGGAGAAACTGAGGAGGTGTGCCTCCTGGGACTGATGTCACATTGAGCGGGGAGGACACCCCGATGTGGAAACTCCTGAGTCTCCCTGCCAGCTCTTTGCTGTTCATCCCCTTCAGGTTCTGTGGTTCCCACAGCTCCGAGGACTCTGCCTCTAGCAATCCCCCATCGCTTGCTGTGCTCAGAGAGGGTGTAGCAGCATTAAGAAGTGGGCTCTGGAGCCAGACTGCCTGGGTTCAGATTCCAGGATAGTCCTTTATAGCTGTGTGCTCTTGGACAAGTCACTTATCCCCTCTAAACCCCAGGTTCCTCAATATACAGGGGGATAAAATAATACCTATCTCATAGTGTTTGGGGGAGATGAGTGAAAATACAGGTAAGATATCTGGTATATAGTTAGCTTCAATAAGTGTTAGCTATCATTAATATTCTTCCCCCTCTCCTATCTCCGTAACCGAGGCATGCAAGGTGGAAGGGGTGCCCTTGAGGACCCCATTTGTCTCCTGCAGTCTGCCACCAGGGGTAGCTGAGCAATGGTGATCAAAGGAAAGGCTTGAAGGCGAGAGTGGGGAGTTTAGGCCACCTGGGTTTGGGGGTGACAGTCACCAGCAGGTACCTTGATACCTCGTTGCTTGACCTCCGTTCTGAGGGCCTGGGGCAGGGGTAGACCTGAGTGGCAGCGTTCCTTTAGTGGCAGTAAACAGATTCCTTAAGATGACCTGGGCTCCCTGAGGCTCCAGGTGTTGGGTAGGACAGCAAGAAGTAGCTGTCCTGGGACTGCAGGATCCCAGGGCATTATGGCCAGACGAAGAGAAGTAGGCCATCAGGGGGACCTTTCTGAGTGCATTTCCTGTCCCTCTGCTCCTCCCAGGACTTCTGTGTGACTGTCTCCTTCACCTTCTTCTGGCTGGTAGCTGCAGCCGCCTGGGGCAAGGGCTTGACGGACATCAAGGGGGCCACACGGCCATCCAGCCTGACGGCAGCCATGTCAGTGTGCCATGGAGAGGAAGCAGTGTGCAGTGCTGGGGCCTCGCCCTCTATGGGACTGGCCAACATCTCTGTGGTGAGACCTGCAGCCGCTGCTGGTGTCTGGGGGAGGCCGGTCCCAGCTGGCAGGTTCTGAGAGGAACAGAGAGGGTGTCTCTCCAGCCCGTATCCCCTGCAACTGGAGCCGGTGACCCCAGCACCTACGGGCGGCTGCTGGCCCCTGGATGACCCCGAGAAGACATGTTGGTTTTGGGGGGGAACCCAAGAGCCACTAGCCTCCTGTTCTTTCCTCCTTCTGTACTCTGCCCTCCCATCTCCCTTCTCCCCACCTCCAGGCATGCTCTCCGTGACTGCCTCCCACTCCCCCTGCCTCTTGACAATGTGTGTGCGAGCATGTGAAGGGGCGCGCAGGCTGTGTGGCTGGGCTCAAGACTGGGAGCAGACCCAGAGTGAAAGAGAAGGGCTTCATTGTCACCCAGGCCTCTAAACTGGAAAGGGGCTTTGGGCAAGGGTGGGCCCAGCTGGTACACAGAGGTTTGGCCATCCCGGCTGTTAGAATGTGGAAATCTTTCCATATCAGTTGGCACATAGCTGAGGCTTCAAGCTTTTCAAATGCCCCCGTCACCTTAGCCTTGTCCTGAAAATGGCTTAGAACTCCCCAAGGCCCAGCAACTGAAGGGGTTTCATCGCTGGCACACCAGGGAACCTTCTAGACCTTGTTAGAACCCTGCTGATAGGTTTTAGCCCCCAACATTTTATTGTAAAAATTTTCACACATACAGTAAAGTTGTAAGAATTTTACAGTGAACACCCACACACTCGTCGCCTAAACTGTACCATTAACATTTTCCTAGACATGCTTTATCACATATCTGTCTGCCCCTCTTCATCCATCAAACCATCTTATTTTTCATGCATTTCGAAGTCAATTGCAGACATCAGTACAGTCCCCCCCCAAATACTACCTGCTGATAGGTTTTTAAGTATCTTTTTAAAAGATTTTATTTATTTATTTGACAGAGAGAAAGAGAGAGAGTGCGTGAGTGCCCAAGTAGGGGGAGCAGGAGAGGGAGAAGCAGGCTCCCTACTGAGCAGGGAGCCCGATATGGAGCTTGATCCCAGGATGCCGGGATCATGACCTGAGCCGAAGGTAGACGCTTAAACTGACTGAGCCACCCAGGTGCCCCTTAAGTATTTTTGAATAAATATTTGAATATAGCCCTGGCTGGGTCCCTGGCCCGGGAAAGGAGCACCTTGGACAGCTCTGGCCACACCCACCCTTGAAAAAAGGCACTCAGAACAGTGCTGTGGAGAGCGCCCTAGAGCCCTTGCTCCTTTCTATGCTTTGCATGATGCTTCACTCCAGGGGCCAGATTCTCCTAGCGATCAAGCTACAAACTCAGGTGCGTGCTGTGGACAGTTAGAGACTTTCATCAGAGAACCGGTGGTGGGTATCGGCATTGAACCCTGCCTCTACATCCAGTTCTCTGTATTTCAGTCTTCCCAGCCCTCAGCCTCTTCCCCCACCCACCACAGGGACTCCCCCGCCCCACCCCCCTCAGTTCCCACAATGCCCTCCTTACTGTTCTCACAAACTTCCCTGGTGTCTTTGCAGCTCTTTGGCTTTATCAACTTCTTCCTGTGGGCCGGGAACTGTTGGTTTGTGTTCAAGGAGACTCCGTGGCACGGGCAGGGCCAGGACCAGGGCCAGGGCCCCAGCCTGGAGAGCGCTGCTGAGCAGGGAGCAGTGGAGAAGCAGTAAGCAGCCCCCACCTGGCTCCTCCCGAACAGGACAGCACCTCTTCAACCACCTCCAGCTTCCAGGACCTCCCTCTTCTTCCTTCTCCAACTCCCCTCCCCTGTCATTCTGGACTTTGAGCTTTGAGACGTCGTCGCTGATGGATGGGCAGGCATCAGCTGTCAGAAACCCAGGCAGCCCTCCCAGTGGCTTCCTAGCCCTCCTCTGGCTGGAGCCTCAGATGGCAGGAGCTCACGGCTTCTTGTCTACTGCCTGGACCCCCAGCATCTTACTTGGGGTCTTACTTATACCCTTATAGCCTCTGAGAATGAGCCTCTACTGCAGGGGGCAGGAGACCAGAGTCCTGAGACTCGTTCCTAGCAGCCACTTCTATCAACGTGTCGGCTTCAATAAAAGTGGGGGGAGGGGAAATTGGCTGGCAGCCTTCTTCCTGGTCCCTTGCATGAAGGGCCCACCAGCAGTTCAGTGACCCCTCTTCAATGGCTGTCATCTAAGCCTGTGTCTGCCCCCATCTCCAGTCAGCCCGCGCGCTCCCACTTTTCCCTCTGGCCTCTGCTCAGCCACACAGCCTACCATGTGGGAACCCAGGAGGCCAACTAGCCTGGAAAACAGCTCTGTAGAGGGTCCTGATGTGGCCTGGACTCAGTGGGGAGCAGATATATTGCAACTGGGTTGCAACTTCAAGATCCTGAAGCCAGGAAACTTGCTGGGGAAGCATTTCTTCTGTTCCTTCAGTCCTCCCACCTCTCTAGGCTGGGGCACTTTCTACCAACGCTACACTCGTACTTGCCCTAGAAACTCCTGACCTTCCTCCCTGCCCTCCTTCTTGGGCTTAGTCTCACGTACGGGAGACAAGATGAGCGGTCTAGGAGCATCTCCATTTCAGCCCTCCCCACCTCCAACCTCTCTGTCCATCTCCCTTCCCCAGCCTCTTGGGTTTGAGGCATTCAGATCCTTTTCCATGTCTGTCCAGGCCTTCCTTTCATTCCTGTGGGTCCAGATAGGGACTTTGGAAGGTCCCAAAGGACCATCATGAGGCTAAGTTGCCCCAGAGCCCCAGGACATGGATGGATGGGCCCATTTCTTCCTCGTTTTCCCCCAACCCACAACTCCTTCTCTGGCCTCTGTTTCATACTTCCGTGCCTCACCTTTACAAAAGGACATGCCCTCTCGGTTTGCCCTCTGTTCCACCCCTGCTTCCTCATTTCTCCCAGGCTCTATCCCTCCCCACCCGAACCCCAGTCCAGGGCAGGCCAATGCTATTGGTGCTTCTTCACTTTGGGACCCAGTTCCATATTTGTCTTTGATATGTCTCCTCTTTCTGACACCTCCTTCAGTCCCTCTCTGGACCCCAGGGCCTAAGAGTCAGTGCTGACTGGAAAAGGGCCATTCATCTCCTACCCAGCTCAAAGCACTTTAGTCTGACCTTGGCCATAGGGCTGCTCAGAGAGGATGGAGAAGGAAGAATCCAGCCATTTTCCAATCCAGTGCCAATTAGCCCACTTATCATCCCAAAGGTGAATGTGCCCTGTGCCAATTTCTCCTCCGGACTGAGACAACCCCTCCAACCTTCTCACCTCCCTAAACACCATCCATAGTAATGTGCACATTACCGGAGTACCCAGAAGACAGGATCTTTGACTTTGGGCCAATCATTTCTTCTTTGGGTCAGAGTCTCCCCACTTGACAGGGGGAGTGTGAGATTTACCTCCTCAAATGCTCCAGAACCCTTCAGTGAAAGAATTAGGTTTTTTGTTTTGTTTTGTTTTTGGATTTTGGGGAAGGGATTTGAGGAGGGAAGAGAGGAGATGGGGATGAGAGTGTTTCTAAGTCTGAACCTCTCTCTGTCCTGAACTGTCCCCATGGTTACTCAAGCAAGAGGGGGAACAGTTTTGCCTATAGCTCCAGAGACAAAGAGAACAAAGAGGTGACCATTTTTCTTTAAGCTGGCCCCTGTGAGGGGCTGTGAGCAGCTTCTACTGGAACTTTGTTTGGATTCTGTGTATGTATTTATAATTTATTTGAAATGTGATGGATAAAGTGTTCTCATTTGGGGGCTGAAGTTAGCAACTGGCCCTTGAGCTAGGGGAAGGGGGGTGGGGTGGGGTGGGTATGCACTCCTGCCAAGGACTCCTAGCCCAGAACTCTCCCTAGAGCAGAGAAGGCTCTTTCTCCTCCTCAAGAGGCTGGCTTGTTCTCATTGAGAAGGGCCTTGATTTTGGCTATGGCCTTGCTTTCCATGACCACCCTAAGAGGAAAGGCTACTTCGCCTCATTACCTCCAGAGGGCTGGGCTAGGCCAAGTGCCGAGGGCAGAGCTGTCCTCATAGGCCTCATGTCCCCTCCAATCAGGGCTGGCACCACTGCTTTGCCTAGTGGGGATTAGGGTAGGAGACTGTGTCTGGTTTCTCCAGACTGCAGGAGGCCAACAGGTAGGATGCTTGCCCTCTGCCCTACTAAACTCTGACACTGCCAGAGTGCCCACTGAGGACCTTTTTGGAATTTTGAGTTCTCTCCACTATCATGATCATAGGTCTCTTCCTTCTGGGATTGAAGATCGGGATGGGGGGTGGGGGGAGAATGTTGCATGTTGTTTTCCGATGCTTGTTATTACACATTTGAATAAACAGTGCTTCAAAGCATTTACCATGAAGGAGCTAAGACTAGAGCCCTTCCGGGATTTTTTTTTTCTCTTCTTCCCATTGCTTTAAGTTCTTGCATTTCTGCCAAAACATCATTCCACTCCTCTCCACTCTGCACCCCAAGCAATAGAGTCTGCGTTTCCTCTTTTAGTGGCACCAATTAGTCCAAAGTAACTGAGACTGGTTAGCAAATTTGAGCAAACTCAAAAGGCAAGAGATAGTGGCTTTCACAGTGCTGTTTCCATTTGCTCTCCTAAGCTTCCTGTCAGGAGGTGAGGGCCGTATGCCTTGCTCTTTTAACTATAAAGGTTCTTTCTGAACAAACTTGCACATCTCTCCCCCTTCTGACAAGCGACCCTTACATTCCCTAGAAAAAACACACTTGCACACGATGTTACATTCAATTTCAACAAGTTCCTGGACCACCTCCCCCCCCCCTCCCGCCCCATCATCTGTGGTTCTCAGGTTAAGAATCTCTGCCCTCAGAGATTATCTTCACAGTACTTAAACCTTCCCTGGGTGAAAATGAGAAGAAAGTCTGAGGTCTTGAAGTCACAGACCTTGACTTATTTGCCTCCAGTTTGGTTTCCTTTAGCTGAAGGAATGAATATGGGGTGAGCTGTGAGAGTTGAAAAGGGAAAAGAGAATTAGTCTCTCTTTTCTGATGTGATTGGGGGGGGGCAGGCTTTTGTCTCTTGATTGTGGGAGGGTGGGAAGAAATGTTATCAGCTGAGAAGAAGAAAGAGGATGATTAAGGTATTTTCCAGGCCTTAGCAAGGAAAATGACAGATCTGATGAGAAATCTCCCTATGCTGAGGCTCTGGTAGCAGGCTTTCCAGCAGAGAAAATATTCATTAGAAAAAGAAACCAAAGTGATGGATGGAGTCAGGGTCCAGCCAGGGTTTGGGAAGAGGCGGTACAGGGTATCGATCGCAGTTCTCAGGAGGAGAGAAGGATCAGCAGAGATGCTGCAAACACCAGCAGCCTCGGGGCCACCCCAGTTCCGGGGCTGGCTCTGGCTCAGAGATAGCCTTCTGTCATCCTGACAGGTGATCTTGATCAGCTCATCTAGGTCCTCCCAAACCCAGACAACACCACTCCAGCCCTCTACCCTGCTTCAGAGCACCGTGGGCTTCCCACAGAAGAGACACAACACGAGAGCCGAGGACCCTCCCCCACTCCAACCCTTGTGTCCTTCAGCATATCCTACAGACTCCCTCCCCTTGTCCTTCGGATTCACAGCGCCCACCTCCCTGCACCTACCCTATTCGATCTACAGGGGAGCGAAGTCGCTTCCTGACCGCCAGCCCGGGAAGGGGCGCCAGCCAGCTGGCGAAGGCACGGCTTAGAGGGGCGTCTTGGGCAGAGAGAGGCTTGGGGCTGGGGTGTGTATGCAGTGAGCTTGGGAGAGCGTGCTGGTAGCACAAAGAATGTGTGCACAAGGGTTAGGAGAGGAGGTCCTGGGGCTTTGGTCTCTCTGCCCTCCGCAATTGTGCATTTTGGAGGGGCTCTTGCTGCAAGCTCCGTAGGCACCGGCAAGTCCCTCCAAGACTACACTTCCCAGAAGGCTATGTGAGAGGGAGAGTGAGGGGCAGACAACCTGTGCTGCGCTTGCGCAAAGAGTGAGCTGGAAAGGTGGGAGGGAGAGGGGAGGCGTGCCCGCGGCGGGGCTAGGGGGAGGGGGCCGCGCGGCGGTGGCGCCGGGGCGGGCGCGCGTCCGCGGCGGTGATGGCGGTGCGTGAACGCGCGGCGGCAGCAATGGCCGCTCTGGAGCGGCGGGTGCCGAGTCTCGATGACTTCGCGGGACAGAGCTGGAGCTCGTGGGTGGAACGGGCCGACCTGCCCGCGGCCGACGGTGAGTGAAGCTCCCCTAGAGTCCGGGGACCCCATCACTGTCTCCCCTCCCCCTCTCCGGGCCCCCGCCAGCAGAGGGGAGCCGCCGACGGGAGCCGCCGTCCGGCTCCCCGGCCCCCCAAACAAAGGACCCGCCGGGTCCTAGTGCCCGCCTGCTCCGTCACCTTCGCGCCTCCGGGTCCTAGCGCCGGCCCACCGCCCGTAGCCCACCCTGCCCACCTCTGCCTCTGCCGGTGCCCAGTTCCCTGCCCCAACATCTGCTTGCTTTTACCTTTCTCTTCGCCTGCTGTCCTCTAGCTTCCGCCCCTCCTGCACCTGCCTAGGGCTTTCCCCGTCCGCAACAGTCCTCTCCACGTGTTTCCCACGCACCCCACTTCTGTGCCCCCCTCCCAACCCCCCTTGTTCCTTCGCCTTCTGCCCCACACCTCCTGCTCCTTTTTGGCGTTTGCCTGCGGGTTGCAGTGCTTCTGGACCCCCGCCCCCTCCGCATTAGTTCGTCGGTCCATCCATCTATCCATCCTCCCTTCCTCCCTCCTTTCGTCCATCCATCCCTCTGTGCCTCCAACCCTCAGTCCTTTCCCGGGCCTCTTGCCCTGCCTCTTGGCTCTCTCCCCTGACCCCCACCTTCTCTAGGCCCCTGAGTGCCTTTGGTAAGCGTGCTGACAGCCCCTTCTGCTGATCTTTGTCTCCTGGGCCCCAGGGGGCACCTGGCCTCGTGGCCTTTGGGGTGACAGCAGGCATCACAGCCCTGAAGAAGTTTGCAAGTGAAGAGGTGGAGGAGGAGACCGCATGGAGCGGTCTCTGATGACACTTGTTCTCCTCAGACATCCCACTCCCAGCTCAGTTCTGCCCATCAGTGCATTTTAACGGACTTAAGAGTGGGAGCTGCCCCTTGTCTCTTGCATGCCTAACCTACTACCCCTCATATCTAGAGATTATGTAAGACTGTCAGCGATCTTCTCATCCTAGAAAGGGGCAAATCTGTTAGTAGGTGTTAGAAGCACATCTGAGTGGAAGGCCAGGCCACCCCAGGACTGCCCCATGCTGGGTGGGCTAGGATGGGGCCATTGTCAGGGTCTGGGTGCTTTGAGAACCGGAAATGGAATCAGACGGGTTTGGTGACTCAGAATTGATTTTTTTTCCAAGGGACAGGGAGGGGGCATAGAGGAGGGAGGGGAGAGGAGTAAGGTAGGGGGATGGGGGAAAGAGCTGCTTTGCACAGCTAAGATGTTTTTGTCATCAACCCAGAAACTGAGGTATAAGGGCAACCCTTGCCCAAAGCCCTCCTAAAGAGGGGAGGCGCTTGCACAGCTGTCCAAAGGGACTTTGAAGATGCCAAAGGACCCCCGAGACAGCAGTTTCTCTGCTCTGTGACCATCCTGTCAATGCAGGACCTGAGAAGCTGGGTGTAACTTTGTCAGTACCATGGTAACCCAGGTGGAAGAAAATCGCATTCATGGGGATGGGGACCTGGGAGATATCTGTTTGGTGTGGCACAGAGTAGCAAGAAGGACCCATCTGAGAAATCTCAAGAAGGGACTTGGAGATTTATAGTAAAACATGTTAAGGATTGTTTCCCATTTAAATGGGGAAGCGGGCCCAGAAAAGAGATCATATTTATTCACAATCACCCAGCTACTCAGCAGTGGAACCCTGATTTGTGCTTTGGAGTGGAGGGTCCCTAAGAAAGGTGGCAGGATCCTTCCTAAGGGGGTCAGCTGATTCCAGAGGTAGCAGCTGAAGGAAGAATGGGCACTTGAGAATGACCCACTGAAAGGCTCTCCAAGGGGTCCTGAGCACCGGGAGCTTGTTAGAGAGTGCAGGCTTCCTACTCCTCAGCTGCCAGCACTGGTTGGGTGGGAGCCGGGGTTCCTGGGGTGGGGGTGGTCCTTCTAAGCTGTGTTTCTCCTCCAGGGGCTGAGGTGGAGGAGAGTAACAAAAACATGAAGAAGCTGGATGCCATGACCCTCATTAAAGAAGGTGGGAGTTGACATGCGTTAGGGCTGGGGCCTAGGGCAGACAGGACCACCTTCCTCTCTTTCAACATATCCCAGGAGGTGGCTGCTTAAGCAGCCGGTCTGGGGATCCTCGCTTTGCTAGGTCTGAGTCAGCCCATTCCCCTGCCTCCTGTGACCCGTTGTGGGAGATCCTAATCGTAGGTGATTGGGCTCACTCACCTAACAGCCCACGTTCTTAGGTTGAGCTCTAGAAGCTGAGAGCAGGCAGCATAAAGCCTGTCATGTCAGCTGGCGGGGGTGGGCAGGCGGGGTGCTGCCTGATCTTACAGGGAAACCCTGGGATCCCCAGCCCCAGTGATAAGGGCTTCTGTCATTGCAGACATGTCCATCTTCGGGCACTGCCCTGCCCATGACGACTTCTATTTGGTTGTGTGTAACCACTGCAGCCAAGTGGTGAAGCCTCAAGCTTTCCAGAAGCACTGCGGTGAGGGGAGCCCTAGGGAGGAGATAGAGGGGACAGGGGAAGGTGGAACGTGGAACTCTGAGGACAGGGTCAGTTGGGAGGTCATGTGGGTCCTGGGGGGGAGGGCTTGGGGATCAGAAGGTCCTGGGGGTGGCTTCAGAGGACTGTGGTGGGTCAGAATGATTGTTTGAGCAAAATTCTAGCATCTAGTGAAATTAGGGGAAGAGCAAAGAGGTTCAGGAAGCCGAGTTCTAATTTTGAGTCTGGAAGGCTCAGATTCAAGTGGGAAAATGGCAAATTTAGAATCTCAGGCTTGGGAAATTGCAGATTTTGGTATCGTGAGTTTGTGAGCAGGGTCAGGAGATGGGGGAAGGAGGCAGTTGATACCACTCACCTCGATTACTCTCTCCACCTCCTGGTGACAGAAAGAAGACATGGGCCCCTCAGCAAGCTTTACGCCCGGGCCCCACCCCCACCTCCAGCCCCTGCCAGCTCTCAGAAATGCCATGTAGTGAATGGGCAGGGCCCAGCTTGCAGGGCCCCAGGTTCCACCAAAACCTCCTCCAGGGAGAAGGGCCAGGGGTCCCGGAGCCGTGGCCACCCGCCTCCTGAGAAGACACAGAAGGACAACCTCTGGTAAGGAGAGGCTGGAGACTCCCTGAGACCAGCCTTGACCCTGACCCTAGTCCGGGGAGGCGTTAACATAAATGGAGACAGCTGTGGGGCAATGGGCCCTGCTCATAGCAGGAGGCAGCCACTCTCTCTCTCTCTGCAGCTCCCTTCCGTGTGATCCAGGGAATATGGGGTGCCCTTTCGCCACGTCCTGCACCCCTGGTGGAGCCCACCCAAGTTCCAGGGCTGGGGAGGAGGTGGCTCTGGGCTAGAGTCCAGGGCCCAGGCCTAGCCCCCCATCCCCCAGCCCACACCCTCTCTCCATGTGTAGCCTTTTCGTACCTGTGGTGAATTTGGAGAAGATGTCCAGTCTCCCGAAGCCCGACGGACATGGAATCAGGCTGGCCCCGCCCTCTGCTCTCCTCAGCCAGCCTGCTGGCCTCACCAAGGACTCCCCGGGAAGAAACCCCACGGCACCCCCTTCTAAAGAACCTCCAGGGAGAGAGAACATCGAGATGACCCCCAGCGAGGGCCCCAGTCACCGGACTGAAGGCAGTCCCCCTGAAAAGGAGCCTGGTGGGGCCAGGCTGCCCCCCAAAACCCACCGGAAGATGGCTCGTGAGTAGTCATGTGGTCTTGGGGGTCAGGAAGGTAGAGTGGGGGACCCCTTTGGACAGCTTGGTCCTTGGGCCCGAAGGAGAGGGGTAAGGAAGGAGTGGGCCTGGCCATCCCTGGTTGCCAGGATACCGGGGCCCCTGGTCACTGCTTGACGTGGACATACACTTGAACTCCTTGCTTTCTAGGAAGCTTCTCTCCAGCCCAGGTTTCCTGGTCAAGGCAAAGGGAGCTTATGCCCAAGCAGGGGAAGGTATTCTTCCTCACCCCGGGCTGTTGACCTTTCTCTCTCCTCTCACCTAGATCCAGGGCACCAGACCCCCCACTGCTGGTTTCCCTGGCATCCCAGCCTGTGGCTAGCTTTGTGCCGTGATCTGTGTTGCCCTGTTTTAGACTTGGAATCGCCCAAAGGAGTGCCTGGGCTGGGAATGGGGGCGGGGATGGTTCTTGTGCCTCTGCAGCAGAGAGTTTCTCTCTGATGCCCAGAGGAGTTTCTCTGGAAGGCTGCAGCCCCGGACTTGAAGGCCAGAGGTTCTTCTGCCGTAGGCCCAGCTCTTCCCAGGCTTTCCCTTGGGCCTCCTGGAAATGGCCTTGGGGTTCATGAGAACGGTTTTCCCCACAGGAAAGGAGTGCGACCTCAACAGGCAGTGTGGGGTAATAAACCCAGAGACCAAAAAGATCTGCACTCGCCTGCTGACCTGCAAGGTAATCTCAGTCCCACGCACAGTGAGGGAGGACAGCACAGACACGGGGCCTGGGCGAGGAGAGAAACTGCAGTGTTATCCAAGATTCAGCTCGGGGTGGGGTGAAGCCCAGGTGAGGCAAGGGGAGAGGAGGCTGCCCCCAGGGGGCCCAGGCTGGGAGCAGCAGGCAGACTGCCCCACTCCAAAGGAAGGTTCTGAGCCTGTGGGGGGAGTGGAACAAAGACAAATACACGTACAAACACACTCATGCCCCCCTCCCTGCTTGCCCAGGCTAGCGCACACTGCTGCCCCTCACTCCTGCTCAGCTCACCGCTCCCCCCCCAACCCCCCGCTCTCTTCTAGATCCACTCGGTGCACCAGCGCCGGGAGGTCCAGGGCCGAGCCAAGGACTTTGACGTGCTAGTGGCAGAGCTGAAGGCCAATTCCCGCAAAGGGGAGTCTCCCAAAGAGAAGAGCCCAGGGCGCAGGGAGCCCACCCTTGAGCGCCCCTCCCAGGAGCCCCCCTCCTCAGTCCAGGTTGTGGCAGCGGCCGCCCCCAGCAGCACCTTCTCTGCTCGCGCCAAGCAGACCTACCCGTACTGTGCACTGCCCAGGTACGTGCGGGGTCCAGTCCCCGACCTGGGGACACTTGGTCCCGAGCCATCGGGGACCCCGGGAGACAGGCCCAGGGAGTCTCAGTCTGCCCCGAGTTGGGGGGATAGCTGGGGCCCCTGGCAGTGGTGCGGAGTAGGTGACTCCCTGCTCCTTCCCCGGCACAACACCGCTGAACCTCAGCCTCTCGGTAGGGTGCCGCTTCCACGGCCGGGATAAAAACCTCGGCCTGGCTGCTTCCCATGGGCCAAAACTTGTACCTGGGGAACCGCAAGGGTCAGGGTCCTGGGTGAGGCCATCCTACTGTGTACTCACTCACTGGCCCCTTCGTGTGCAGAGGCCGCGCTGGAGCCCGGGGAGAGCCCACCTTGCCGAAGGAGACGCACACGCATCTCTGCCCGTAACACAAGGGCAGACCTGAAACAGGCTCAGCTCACAGACAGGCTCACAGGAATATGTGATGCAAGAAGGGGGTTCAGAGAATTGACTGGGCTGACCAGAGCTGGGTGCAGTTAAACTCAGAAGATTTTCTGGAGGAGGCGAATCTGGAGCAGATTTCCCCCCGAGGAGGCAGGGCCTGGGAAGTGAAGGGGCTGGGGAGAGGATCCCTTGGGAGCTGTGGCCCCTGACCTTTCTGGCTCTTACTCTGTGAGCTCTGTTGTTCCTCCCTTGCTGTCCTCCTTCCTCTTTGTCTCCTTGCCCAGCAGGGGGTCTGCCCTGGCTTTCTGGAGCTTGGCGGGTTCAGGGACACCCCCACCCTGACCCACTCCGGTCTCCTTGCCCTCACATCCCCTTTGGCCCTTCCAGGTCCCGGGCCTCCTCTGAGAGTGAGTTGGATGATGAAGGCCCCTGTGGTGGTGATGGGGACCCAGGCCTGTTCCCCTTTCCCCTGCCCCGGGGTGGGGCCCAGGCCTCCAGCGAGGAGAGTGAGGAGGAGGGGACATCTGAGGACCTCCACCTCCCCCCTGACTGCCATTATGCAACCCGGCCCCCGCGGCCACAGGCGGTAAGGACCTGGGGCAGGGACCTGGGGTGGGGGGTGGCCCAGCCCTCCCGGCCCACAGATCCCTTGCGCAGGAGCCCTCCCTGCGTCCCAGGCCCCACTAACCATGGCCCTTCCTTCTGCCTCTAGTTCTGCACCTTTGGGAGCCGGCTGGTGAGTCCGGGATGCTACGTGTTTAGCCGCCGGCTGGACCGGTTCTGCTCAGCACTGAGCTCCATGCTGGAACGGCACCTCAGCTCCCACATGTGGAAGTGAGTCTTTTGGGCCCGGAACTGCCCTCTCTAGACCCCAGGCCCCGGACATCCATGGGCTTCAGAAGCTCCCATTCTTCTCACCTACCCATAGATGCCGTTTGGCTGTTTGGCAAGACCCCAGATAGAATGAAGAGGACGTGGGGGAACTTGACAGCCTGAGGCTGGGCTGAGGCAGGGCAAGAGTGGGTGGTGTGGGAGTGAAGCCCGGCTCTTATCCGTCACTTCCAGTACCTTTTGGGTAACTAGGGATAGGAGATGCCGAAACTGAAATTTGAAATGAGGTTCTGAATGGGTCTAGATACTCGTTCATTCCTGCCTACCCGTGTGCTCTCTTCCTAAGCGTCAGTTCCAGTGTCTCCCAGCAGATGGCAGCAAGGCCGGGGCTCTGTGGGCCATTTCTAGGTGGGGCAGAGAGCCGGGTGGAGGCTGGTGGGGAGGTCCTCCTGTTTGCCTGGCGTCACAGCGGAGCTCTTTTTACTGCAGGAAGATCCCACCGGCGGCTGAGCCTCCATCCCACCTTGTCAGCTCCCCGCTCTCTGCTCCCCTGAGCCCATCCTCTATAGGCAGCTGCCCCCGCCTTCCAGGTCCACCCCCCCGACTCGCCTGCCCGGCCTCCACGCCCCCCGCCAAGGACAGCCTTGTCCCCAGCTACCCTGCAGGTTCCCCCAGTGTGGCAGCGGCCTGCAGCCAGGCGGAGTGCATGGGCGGGAGCCAGGCCATCACCTCACCCCTGCCTGCCAACACGCCATCCCCATCCTTCAGCCGACTCCCGCCTTCGAAGGCCAGCAAGTCGTCCAAAGGCAAGGACGGGGTCGAGGTGGAGGCCCCTTCTCGAAAGCGAAAGTTATCCCCAGGCCCCACCACTTTCAAACGGACCTGCATCCTGGAGCCCTCTGGAAAAGGCAAACCCTCCGGCTGCCGGGGCCTCTCGGCCAAGACTAAAACAGCCCTGGGCCTGGGGCTTAATGGGACGGTGGGGCCAAGAGTGAAGCGGGCAGGGCCTCTGGACTGTCGGGGCTCCCCTCATCAGCCCCCCACACCCGTCAAGGCTTCTCAGCTGGACAACCGGGGAGCGGCTGGACACCCAGCCAAGGCCCTGTCCACCAACTGCCTCTCTGAGGAGGAGGTAGCCAAGAAGCGGAAAAACCTGGCCACTTACTGCCGGCCGGTGAAGGCCAAGCACTGCCAGGCCGGTGGCCCTGCCGATGCGGCCTGCTCCGTGCGCCGCAAGAAGCCGGGGCCTGCCATGGCCTTTGAGGAGAAGTGTTCTACGCTGAAGGTACCAGCCCAGCTCCCTGAAGAGCACGGGCAGGGAGAGATCAGGATGGACGAGGGTAGAATGCACAGTGGGCACCTGGCACGGAGAAGGTGCTAAGTAAACGTTTGTGCAGGGAAGGGATTCTGAAGGGGGAAGTTGAGAGAGCTCTTGGGCTGTCTTTTCTAGGGAGACGTGGGTCAGCTCTTTGAAAGGTGACCCAGCTTTTGCTTGATGGGCCTTCCGCTAGCTCTCCCTTGAGCTGAGGAGATGCTCCCTCTCCCCTGCCCCCGCATCTTCTGTTTCAATGAAAGGGCCACTTTCTGACCCCCCACACCAGGAACTGGAGCTACCTCTGTCCCCTGAAGGAAAGGAAGTTGGACTTCATGAACTCTGATGGGGAAAGGTTTGGGCAGCGGGGTTGAGTTTGGGTCCCTGAGCCGTGGCCTGATATGCCGGGCGGCGGGGTGCGTGGGCTGGTCTTGTTCATGGGTTCTGCCTCTGGGCGTCAGGACCTGGAAGGGCAGGGACACCATGCAAGGTCCATGTATGCATAGGTGCCCACTTCCAGGATTTCAGGTGCCAGGCAAGTCCTCCAGGGTTTCTGGGAAAGCCAGCAGCCAGGTTTCTGTGCCTCTTCTGATGGGAGCCCTGGAGTGGCACACTCTGGGCTGTCCAGAGGATCTCGGCCAGGAGGGACTTACCGGGGGTGAGAAGGGGGCTGCTTTTCCTCTGTAGGCACGGGCCAGATGCATACCCACTCCTCTGGCACCCGTACGAGAGTAGTGAGTCGGACGGTGCCCTCACGTGTGTGTGCGTGTGCACACGGACGTTCTCAGGCTGTCCCGCTCGGCTGGCATTCATCTTCCCCTGCGTCCAGCGTTCGTCACCAGCCCGGCCAGGAGGAAAACAAGCGTTAGCTCTATGGTGCACACAGTTCACTGGGTAGGAGGACTGGTAGGCCCCTAGCCTGACCGTGTCTCTTGCCTCTTGTCTTCCTGCAGTCTAAAGCCCATTAACAAGAAAGTGCCTGCCCACTGCGACGGAGCCGTCAGCACCTCCTCCCCTCCAGATCCGGGCCCCAGGCTGCGGCCGCTTTTTATAACTTTATATTATTTTTTTTAAGAAAAAAAACTCTTTAAAATACCTCAAGACTGTCTCCCTGTTCTGTTGCTGCTAAGAAAATGTAAAAACAAACATAGAAAAGGAAGGAAAAAGATGTAATAAAATGAATGTCCTTGCTGTCCCCATTTGCACCCCAGGAGGCAGAGATGATAGGCAGCCAGACTCAAGCTCCCGGCCCTTGCTCATGTATTTTTGTCCTTTTAAATGGTGTGGGAATGGCTGGGGTTTGTGTCATGGGGGAGTCTTTTCTCCAGAGAGGATGATGAGGCATTATGGCTCTGAGTGAGCAAGGCTTGCCAGAATCTTTATCCCAGAGATGACTCCGGTCCCGTTGGGAAGGGAAACTTGACGAGGGCAAGGGAGCCTCTGGCTCTCCTCTCAGGTCTTTGCCCCGAGGGTCTGTGGGAGTTCGCTGTTGGCCCTTTTCCAGTCTTCCAGCAACGCTGGGCCTCCATCCTGTCTCTGAACTCAGTCTCTTCAGCTGTTCCTGCCCTTGCTGCCTCGCCCTAGCAGCCTTATTTTCTCAACCACAGGGGGAGCTTGATTGGAGTTGGTAACTGCTCTCGGGATGTCTGTGATTTCTGTGGGACAGCCTGTTTTGGTCCCTGTCCCTGGCCTGTGGGTTTGCTCCAGGTAGGCCTCCTTAAGCTGAACCACACCTTTTTGGAGGCAGGAAGGGGAAAGGTAGGATCACTTACAAAACTTCTGGTGTGGGAGGCAGCAGGAATGTGGGAGGTTCTGGTCCCTCAGGGTCACCTGGCTCCCCAGGGCCGAGCAGATGGTGTGAAGGTGGGAAGGGCTGGCAGTGCCCTGGTTCTTCCATTTATCCCACTGGAGGCTAGTGTGCCCATAGGGGTGACATTTGCCTCTCCCTCCTTGGGTCCTCAAACCTGAACTCACCAGGCGGGCACTAGTTTTTGGCCTGGTCCTTACCTTCCAGTGTCCTTGCTCTTAGGCAGGGAGGACTCTGAACTCCCTTAACAAGACGGAAGAAGGGATGGCAGGAGGGTGTGGGCAGGCCGAGAAATCCAGTGTTTCTGGAAGGCGGTTCCAAGCGCTGGTTTCACATTCTTGGTTCAGTGCACGGAGTTTGTGATTGGGGTTTGGGGGGAATCCGTTGCCATAAGTGTAATTTCCACAGGCTACTTGAGACGTAAGCCCTTGTGGCCAGAAAGATTACAAATGAGGTTGACCGAAGAAACCAGGCTGGCCGGCCAGCTGTCTGGTCCCCTTCTGCCCCCGGGGCTGTCCAGGGCCGGCGCGCTTTCCCCCCAGCCCCCAGAGGGCGCTGTGGGCGAGGCCGCCGTATTGCCGGCGGCGGCCGGGGGAGGGGCCTCTCCCGCCGCTGCGGCCGCCTCCGCGAGCGCAAACCCGGAAGGCGCGCTCCAGCTGCTGGGAGTGTTCGCCGGCCCGGCCCGGCCATGCAGCCCTTGGCGGTAGGTCTGGTTCCCGCTCCGACGAGGGAGCCGAGACTGACCCTCTGGCTGCGGACAGGCAGTGGGGTCTTGGTGCACCTGGTGGCTTTAGGCTTCACCATCTTTATGGCTGTGTTGTCCCGGCCAGGAACCAGTGAGTGTGCAAGGCGGGGCGGGGCCAGGGAAGGGGGCGGAGCCGGGATGCTGGAGGAGCGTCGCTGGGAGCGCTCCGAGACCTGGAGTAGGGACGACCCCCCCCCCCCCCCGCCCCGCAGTGGAGGGGCGAGCTGTGAAGGGGTAGTAACGGCGTCGTGGGGCGGGCCCCGGGAGGTGGGTCCTGGAAGGGTGGGGCTTTGGGCGCGGGGGTGGGAAGGCAGACACTCAGTTGAACTCACCAGTTCATCAGAAGCGGAGCCCCTCGTGGAGGATACAAGTAAAGGAGGCCAAGGTCCGTTCTAGGACTGGGCTGACAGCTGCGAGCTGCCGGATGGGGAACCCAGGCCAGACGGGTTTGCCCCCTTGGTTGCTCACCTTAAGCCCCATTGGCTGCTCCACTTGGCACGGAGTTCCTGACTCGGGCTGGGAATGGTACACTGACCTGTCCCCTGTAGCCGGATTCTTTGGGCTCCAGCCAGCCACAGGGGCAGAAACATGGTACCCAGCCGTCAGTCTCTTCTCTTTGATTCTTAGGTCTTTTCTCCTGGCACCCGGTATTCATGGCCTTGGCGGTGAGTTTGGGCTTCTTTTCTGCAGCTGATTTGTTTGGAAATGCCCCCTAGGGAAGCATCCAGCCTTCGAAGGCTTAGCCCTTCTAAGGCTCAGAGAGGTGGGGGAAAGAGCAAGGGCCCCATCTTCCCCTGAAACCTAATTGGGAGACATGGAAGGCTGGGCTGTAGTTAGTGTCAGGTGGTTGAGGGGGGTTGGGAGGGTATGGAAGATGTGTCTTTCTCCCCTAGGGTCTGAAAGGAGGAAGTATAGGTGGTGTTGTCCAGTCACCCCCCCCCCAACTCCCTTACCCCCGCAAAGTTCAGGAGGCAGTTTAACATTTGCTAAAGATTTGCTTAACATTGGGCAAGAAATGGGGAGTCATCATTGTCTGTGGAGGAGGTAGGCATGGAGGTCAGCCTGAATGATAAGACTTCCACTCAAGTGTTGATTCCCACTTGTGCCCAGAAATGCTGACTTGTCAGGCAGGAGGTCCTGGTGGGAGATCTTTAGCCTCCACCCTTTGTCATCCCTGTTTGGATGTGTGAGAGCACCTCCTTTTTCTTAGGACTCCCCGCTGGGCCTGAGGCTCACTGGCCCTCTCCTGTGTTCACAGTTCTGCCTCTGCATGGCTGAGGCCATCCTGCTCTTCTCGCCTGAACACTCCCTGTTCTTCTTCTGCTCCCGAAAGGCCCGGCTCCGACTCCACTGGGCAGGGCAGACGCTAGCCATCCTCTGTGCAGCCCTGGGCCTGGGCTTCATCATCTTCAGCAGGACCCGCAGCGAGCTGCCCCACCTGGTGTCCTGGCACAGCTGGGTCGGGGCTCTGACCCTGCTTGCTACTGGTGGTCAGGCACTGTGTGGGTTCTGTCTCCTGTGTCCTCGGGCAGCCAGGGTCTCAAGGGTGGCTCGCTTCAAGCTCTACCATCTGACTTGTGGACTGGTGGTCTACCTGATGGCTACAGGAACGGTGCTCCTGGGCATGTACTCGGTGTGGTTCCAGGCCCAGATCAAAGGCACAGCCTGGTACCTGTGCCTGGCACTGCCCCTCTATCCGGCCCTGGTGATCATGCACCAGATCTCCAGCTCCTACTTGCCAAAGAAGAAAATGGAAATGTGAGTTCCTGCGAACTCTGAATGTAGGTGGGACACTTGCCTCGGACTCAAATGTTCCCTTTGGTGACCTTCAGGGGATCCATTTCAGAAGTGGTAGGGTTTTTGTACTTTTTAGCTGGGTCGGGGGCTGCAGAAACCCAAACTGCTATTTCTGATGACTACTCAGTGGGCCGAAATGGGGAAGTATAGTGGGTGCATTGGAAGGTGATGGGGGCGGGGGGCTTGATCTTGAAGCCTCCACTCGATGGGAGACGGAAGTGTTGGGTGGTGGTGGTGATGGTGTTCGCAGTCATTTCTTGCCTGTGTATCCGATGGAGAATTGGGTTCTGGTAACTTATGAATGACAGCAGTGGTTTTTGAGGTCTTCAGGAAAGCAGTGTGGAGAGAGACCCTGGGTTATGGTTCCTGTAGGATCTATTGGGCAAACGGGGCGCCTGGGTGGCTCAGTTGGTTAAGGATCTATTGGGCAACCTTAGGAAGTCACGTGTCTCGGGACCAGTTTCCGCATCCGTGTCGTGGATGTGTTTCTAAACAGTCTCCAGCATTCAGTGTCTATCAGGTTGATGCCACAGAACACACTCCCCACTCTGGACCACGGGCTGGACCACTAAGCCGACTCAGGACGTCATTCCCTCTGCAGGGACAGGTCTGCCCTCGTGGCCTTCCAGGAATCTGCCGATTGGGCTCCTGGACTAGGGCACAGGGGGTCAGGCACTGTGGAGAGAAGAGTCCCAGATGAGGCTCTCTTGAACTCCAAGACAATTAAAAGCACTAAAGTCACTTTAAAGCTTTTGTAGGAACAGAAGGGCATTGGCTTCAGCAAGCCTCTGGCTCCTGGCTGGGCTTCTTAGCTCAGTGCAGAACGTCTTCAGCCCACCTCAGAATCTGGGCTTGAGGGCTGCAGGACATGAGCGAGCGCCTTTCCCTCCAGGCGTTCGGAGCGCTACAGCAGTCCTGAGCACCTCCGAGCCCTCCCTAGGGCTCAGGTACTTGCCCTAGCACATAGCTTTGTGGAGGTATTCCAAAGCTTTCAGAACAAAATAAGAGCTAGGAAGTGGGGTAGGGCTTTTCTGATCTAGGAAAAACAAAGTCTCCCTGGTTCCCCTTCTCAGCTAAGCTCTTCTCAGTTGCCGTCTCTTGCCAGCTCTTCGGCCCAGAGGGGGCTGAGTGTGGCGCCAGCTGGCAAAAAAGGGCTGGGCCCTCTTTCCTGCAGAAACCCCCTCCTTGTTCCAAACTGAAGGTAGTTCCCCAGACTGCCCTTAGTGGTGAGCTGGGTGCCAGACTGGTTAACAGTGGTCTGGCTGGGTCAGGGTGGGGGGGGGGGGCACGGGGATGGGACCTCCATAGATCATGGCAAGGACTGAAGACAGCCACGCCAGGAAAGCCGGTGTTGAGGCGGGTAGACAGCTCAGTGGAAGCTCTGGGAGGCCTGGGTGTAGGGGCTGGAGCCCCAGGTCCCGGGAGCAGGGCAGGTTCCTAGAAGGCAGTAATTTGGATGCCCCAGGTCTTCCTAAGATTTAAGACCTCCCTCTCTGACTGGTTCAGAAGCAAGGAGATTGGTATGGTTTAACAATCCAGGAATGGGGACTGCAAGGGCAGAAGTATCCTCTGAGTGGATCTCACTTGGTCAGATGGCGTCTCCCGGCAGCTCTCCAGACCCGGAGCATCTAAAGGGGGAGAGGGGGGGGCTCTGCTCTTCAGAGGGTGATTATTCCTGTCTCCTTGCCTTCTCTCCCCTCTCAGACTACCCAGTGTGGTCTGAACTCGGAAGAGATGGTTCCCTTTGCTCAGGGACTCCATCTCCTCTCCCCCCGTCACAGCCAGTGCTGGGAGTCTCACTGTCTCCAGCAGGGTGACAGGGCGGGGTGAGGTTCACCAGCTGCCGCGAGCCAAGCAGCCAGGGCCCCAAAGCCTGAGCCTGCCCGAGGTGTTGCCTGCTCCCAGGTGGTGCGGGGGCTGCCGGGCGGGCTGACAGCCGGCATTCTGCGGGGGCTGTGCCAGCTGATGTCTATTCCCAGCCCTCGGAGGAAGGGGGAAGTCATTTATATTCCGCAGGAGGAAGGGGCCCCAGCTGGCACCTCTCTGACCAGGAGGCCTGGAGGGCAGGGGCACAGGGCCAAGAGGAGGGCACAGGTGGTCTTCTGCGGAGCCTGCTGACTGCAGTATGGGGAGTAGGTCACCAGGAGGAGCCCTTCTTCCCGGGCGGCCAGATTGTTGGGGGGGACTTCCCGCCCCCCTCCTCTGCGTCTCTCCCTGCATCGCCACCTGCCCTCACATCCTGGGGCAGCAGCTGGACAACCATTAGACCTCAGTGCCAGGGCACTTTTCCTCCCGCTGGGAGCTGGGTGGCTGCCTGGTGCGTGCGCCTCCTGCTCGTGTGCGTGTCCTCCCCCCACCTGTCTGTATCTCCCCATCTGGGATGTTAGCTGGGCACCTTGGCAGTGAGGCAGAGGCCTTGGGGGCAGGAAGCAAATGGCTGCCCTTTTGCCCTTGTTCCCTGGCTGGGGAAAGATGCTAGTAGTCACCCTGTTTTGCCTTTAAAAAAAAAAAAGCGGGGTGCTCAAATAAAAAAAATGCATGTCATTTGCACAAATTTGCATATCAGGCTCACTAAGACTGGATTCCAAATATGATTATATTTCAGACTCAACCTTGAGGACATTAGAAATGTAGATGTTTTTTGTAACCAAATCCAAATGGTAACAGGATTACTGTTCTGGGTTCAGACCCCCACTCCCCACAATCTTTCCCAGTAACCATCTCTTCCCTGGAGCCCCCCACCGGGCTGGGGTTGGTGTTGAATGGCAGGAGCTGTGTGTCTGGGGAAGCCTTCCAGCCTCACCTTGGCTGTTGAGCTGCATCGAAGGTAAGCTGCTGTCCCTTGCCAGCCTGTTCCTCCTCTCCCTACCGGCCCCCAGGGCAGACTGCCCGTCCCAGTCCCTGACACCCCACCCTTCCACCTCCGTGCGTGGCCGCTCTGGGTCTTGTTTTTCAAACCTCACTGTGGGAGATCCAGGCATCCTCCCTGAGCCAGATGGCTGCAGTGCCCAGGCCTGCTCAGAGTTAATAATAATCATTAGCTTCACCGCGCTGGGGCCTTTCAGCTCCAGAGCTCGAGGCACTTGCAGGCTGAGTCAGCCAGCCCTCACCTTCCCCCTCCTCCTGGGCTGCTGGAGTATAATGGAATGGGGAGAGGAGGGGGGTTCAGAGGCTCACTTCCCAGCTGAGGCTTGAGGCTTCTTTCCTCTGGGAGTGGGCCCTGAGCACCCTCTGAGTACATTGCTAAGGCCTTTTCACCTGACAAAGATCAAGACGTGGGGATCACAGTGTAGGCTCCTCTAGGTATGCTGCCCTTCTGTTACCTGTCTTGACTTCCAGAGGACACCCCTGGCCCTGATGCCCCAATCTCAGCATTTCTGGGGGCCCTCTGCAGGCTTAGGGAGCAGGGAGGCTTCTGGGTTAGTGCTCTGTTGCCCCTGTGTTTGGTTGACGTAAGAGCCCGTGTCTCAGGCAGCAAAAAGCGCACTGACCCGGGAGCCAGGAAAGCTGCAGTCTGGGTTTGGTCGGCTCCTAACAATGGTGTGGCCAGAGGCAAACGGCTCCCTGCTCCACCTGCCTCACAGGGATGTTGGGAGGGTCAGAGCAGAGAATTTATGTTAACAGGCGTTGGAAAGTCCAAAGCATTAAACAAATGGAAACAGGTGTGTTTACAAGTATGTTCTTGTCCTTGACTCTCTCTTAATCGGCCTGGCTCTGGGTTTGATGCTACTTTTAGGGAGGCGATCAACGGTTATGGATAATGATGCCTAGGGGACCCAAGTCTCAGAGAGGTTGTGTTGTTGGCCATGGTAAGGGAACACACACACACACACACATTTCCTCCTTCTAGATGCAAGGTCAGCTGCGTGCACTCCGGTCAGGAATGCCACCAAGGTTATGAGCCTAGCGAAGCCAGCCCTAAGTGCTGCCTGCCTGGTGGTTTCAGGGCATGGAGCTGATTGTAAATCTGGAAATCAGTGCACTTGTCCCCTCGTCCAGCCTGAAGTTCCTGGAGCAGGTCACAAGTCTGTCTACATCTCTCCTACCTAATTCTGCGCTTCTGAAGGAAAAGTGCAGCAGACAAGCCAGGAAGGCAGGCGCAACAGTAATGAACATGACACTGCCCACCCCCCATGCTGGTTTCCCCTGTAGCCCCAGGCTGAGCAAGGCCTGCCTCAGGCCCTCATAACAGGCACTGGAGATGCAGAGCTGTGACATGTGTAGCTTGGTCACAGGCTCCTGGAGGAGGGTCACAGTCCCCTCCTCCTTACAGGGTTTTATAGGAATTAAAACACACATACATGCGCGTACACACACACACACACACACACCCAGGAAAGCAGTTCTAGTTCCATGTGAAATTCGGGGAAGGATAGTTTCTGTTCCATTTGTCTGAGGACTGCCAGCAGTCGGCCTGGGGTGCACACAGAGAGGCAGGAACCACAGCAGTGCAGAGGCTGGGTATTGTGTATTCAGGTTTTTATCTTGTTTTTTCCCAACCTGGGACCCAGCAGTGAGACACTGGTCAGGTGGTGTGGGCATGGCCCTGACATGTCTCACCAGCACAGGCATGGAGAAGACAGGTGACAATGCAGAAGGACAGGGCCCCAGACTTGAGGGTGGTTTGAAGGAGACCGTTCTTAGCATGGGGCTAAGCTTCAAGCAGACCCAAAATACCTCCAGTAAGACAGCCTTCCCCCAGCCATCCGCCCAGAAGGCTTGGCTAGTCCCCAATGTACAGGGAATAAGAGCCCCCGTTTTTAATCTACCCGTTATTGTCAGAATTTCCCAGATGATTTTTTTAACCTCTGCTAAAAGCAGATTAAATAGCCACTTCAGGCCATTCTGTGGTACCAGAGGATTCAACTCTGAGTGTGCATGAGGGGCCCCTAGCACCCCTCTTTTTTTTTTTAAAGATTTTATTTATTTGAGACAGAATGAGAGAGACAGAGAGCACATGAGAGGGGGGAGGGTCAGAGGGAGAAGCAGGCTCCCTGCTGAGCAGGGAGCCCGATGCAGGACTCGATCCCGGGACCCCGGGATCATGACCCGAGCCGAAGGCAGTCGCTTAACCAACTGAGCCACCCAGGCGCCCGCACCCCTCTCTTTAAAGCAGATTGTGAGTTACTTCACTGTGCTTTCTAAGTCCAGGACTGAGCTGGGTCTTTCTGGCTAGACCCCATCAAAAGCAAAGTATGGCCAAGCAAGGGAGCAGTGGGAGGTGAGGGGAAAGCAGCACCAAGTTATGTCCGGCTACAGTGCTCCTTCACCCTGTGTGCATGTGCATACACACACCCCTAACTTTGGGGCCAATGACTCTCACCTTATGTATGCCAGTGCCGTAGGGTGCCTGGAAGTCTCCCTGCCGGGCCCCGTGTCCTGGCTCACAGAAGGATGGTTCTCTCAGGCCACAGTTCCACACCTCTGTTTCTGGGACAGTAACCACGCTGACGTAGACTGGAAGGCCTCAGGGCAGGTCTGTGTATCTTTACCACTTGGGATCTCCTACCCAATAGCATACAAGCCTGATGAAGAGGCTTGATGTGGCAGCTACTTTAGCTTTCCTCTCTCAAGCCCCATGAGAGGAAGGAAAGGCTCACTGCAGCCAGACCAGAAAAGCCAACCTTCCTACTGCACAGGTCTGAGCCTTTTCTACAGTGTGGATGGGGAAAGAAGCTTCACAGTGGTTTCCTAGGAGCCAAGGTAAGTGGTACAAGAACTACAGCTGCAGAAGGGAAGGGAGTGAGAGGTCAAGAGGAAGGGAGATGAGGCTGGCCAGTGCAACTGAACTCTCAACTTCTGTTCTACAAGGCACCTGTCCTATTAGCCTCCCCCACTCCCCCGAAATGCCACCTAAGAGGAGCTAAGGCGAGTGCCGCAAGACATGGCAGACAAAATTGCATGTCTTGACCAGAACTTAGGGAGTTTCTTATGGCTTGGGGGTGGGGGGCCTGAGATGTAGCCATGGACTTCTTTGGCATGATGGGGGAAAGGAGCACCAAAACTTTTCAGGTTCAGAGTCAGGGCTTGGCACAGCCTAGCAGTCTTCCCAGACCCAGCTGCAACGTCAGCTGCAGCAAAAACTGCTTTGAAAAGATGAAAAAGTGCCATGTAAATGTAGACTATGGGAGCACTCCGGCATCATCTGCCATTTCACTTGCCTGCCAAGGTTGATTTGTCTGATGTGGCTGGTGAGGCGTCTCCTTCGGTGGTTCCTCATGAAGAGAACAAGACAACTCTCCAGACAGAGGAGGGCTGCCCTTTGGTCAAGATTTTATCAATGTAGGAAATTAGGTAATGATTTAAATTCTGGTTTTTAATTTGTTTTCCTTATATCATTTCCTCTTCCCTCTTGGACTCTACCATGACGATCTCCTTCCAGAAGTACCAAGAGAGTAGCCAAAGAATTTGCATGTTCAGAGTTTAGCAGAGCCGGGTCCAATTTCTGGTAGGCTGTGTCTGTACCAAGAACGTGAGGGTTGCATTTCTCTGTCTATGCAATGCCTGGGACACATTAAACTGTCAGTGAGTATTAACCTGCCCATTCAATGAATATGCTTTGAGCCAAACTAAGATAGTTACTTACCATTTACAGTATGAAAAAAATACAGGCCATAACCAAAATACTGAAACTGAGCTGCTTTCCACCAATTCTTTTAATCCAGTGCAAGTGTTTTTCCATAGCACAGTTAGTAGGCTTCATCCAGACTTTTAAGAGAACTCTGTGGGGAGGCAGCCCTCCTCCCCAGGGATCCAGGAAGACTTCATTATCCACAGGCTGTAGCCCCAAGTTAAAGAATTTCTAAACTCTCCTGCTATAGCATCAGTGACGTTTCTTTTGAGAATCTATCAGGTCGGGAAACTATGGTCAGCTGGCCCAAACCAGCCCCACTGCTGGGTTTTGTATGGTCTGTGAGCTAATAAGAGTTTTTATATTTTTAAATGGTTGAAAAAACTCAAAAGCCGCGTGAAAATGATATGAAATTCAGATTTCAATGTCTGTAAATGAAGTTGTACTGGAACCACACTCTGCAGTTTATGTACTGTCTGTGGTGACCATCCTGCTACCGTGGCCCGACTAAGTCGCTGTAACAGAGAGCGCCCGGCCTGCAAAGCCTAACGTATTTACTGTCTGGCTCTTCACAGAAAAAAGTTCCCTGACCCTGGTCTATTTTCATGCCTGGATGTGGACTCTGCCCTTGCCTTTATAACGGCATTTAAATATCCTCTCCTTAGGCCACACACTTCTGAGGCACAGTGAGCCCTACCCACAGGCTGAAAAGATAAATAAACCAGTCACAGATTGCCAGAACAGAGACTCAAGCCAGGTTTAATGATCATAGTCTAGTTTTCAGAGCTCAGAGGCTCCAAGGTTTGCCAGCCTGGGTGTACATAAGTGGGAGGGATGGGGTCCTGGACACAGGGAGGCCTGCTTGCTTCGCCAGCAGGGCGACAAGAAGTACAGAGGTAAGAACACACAGAAAATGGGAATCAGTCAGCTTTACTGTCCCCAGCTGGGCTGTCCCCTCTTGTGGCCCCTTCCTAGGAGCCCCATAAATACAGGCAAAGAAAAAAAGATCACAAATAATCACATAGACAGATTGTAGAGCCCTGTCATATTCTGTCTCCAGGGACACCTGCTTCCTGGGAGATATGTCTGGTTTATGGGTTCAGGATGGGGGGAAGGGAGGGAGGGATTTCTCAGCTTTTTCTTATTATCAGACCTGGCAGTTTCCAACACAAGGTTCTAGTGAGCTTATATATGCTGAGTATCTAATCGCCCAAGTAGAAAGCTACCTTTGGGTTCTATCAACTGAAACGACGGGAAGAGGCTAACCAGTTCACTCTCCTGGTGGGGCAGCCAGACACATCTACCAGTCTTTCAAACGAGGGGCCTACCTAGTGGATGTAGTAGAGAGATATAGGGCCTCAGGGTCTTTTCTTATTCCTTAAACTGGGTAGGACTTCTGAAGAAAATGGCCCTCCTAGTCCTCAGGAGCTCAGAATGCTCCAGAAGGCCAACTTCATTTGACATTTATCCTAAAGATTTTCAGAGCCCTAGGTAGTGCCCAGTGGGAAACTGCAGCGTGGAGATGAGATTTCCCCCGGTTCCTTAATAAGTCTGAGGAGGATGGCCTGGTCACTATGGCTCCAGTAACAAAATCCTCAGACGTCTCTGGAATATAAAAGACAACTTTTCCTTCATACCCCTGTCTTTCCAGGACAGTTAACACAAGAAGAACAACTTATTGCTGCTTGTTCCCCTGCCTGTTTCCTTCTGGGTCCATCACTGACCTAGTTCTACATTTATTTCTCATATATATTGTCTTTAATCCAAGAAGGTTTCTGAGGGGTGTGAAGAACCAGCCAGCTCCTCATCATCCCTTCTCCCCAGGTTGCCAACCTGCGGTTCTCCTAACTCTAGTCTTTGCAGAGAAGTTACTCAGTGCCACGGAGATGCGGGAAAAGCTTCAGGGAGTTCAGAAATGAAAAGTACAAGTGTTTGTATCTGGGGAGCCTGGCGTGGTCACTGTCTCTCCCCTGGGGCAAGGTAGCTGTGTGCATGAAGTTGGGCACATAGGTGGAACCCACTGTGAACCAGGGACATTAGTGGGGACTACAGAATCACTGTCCTGAGGGAAGTCAAGGTGCTAGTGTGCATGCACACTTGGAAGCATGCATACCTAGGAGCATGCAAGTACTTGAGGGAAACGCTGCACCTCTCTCGACAAAGTAGGTTACTAAGAAAGGATGGACAGCAGTCTTGACATCCCAGGAACAGACAAGGGAAGATGTTGAGTTCCAGTCCCCTTTCCCAATCTTAACAGGCAGCAGGAGTCAGGCCCTCCTAGCAAGCAGCCCTCACCCGCAGGTAGAGGACATACCTCTTGGAACCTAAAGAGCAGGTTAGAAAACTAGAAGATCTGGAGAACATCCAATGGACAGGGAGCTTGGTTGGGAGAAGGGGAGACACTGAAAAAGACCAACGTCAGAGAACATTTTCACCTTTGCCCTGCTCATCCCCTTGCCAAAGCTCGGAGCACTCATCTCCCGGGGCCTGCAGGATAGTCAAAGGGTGCAGTCATCTCCATACCCAAAATATTCTGCATCCCTGGATGGAATGGAATGTTGGGCCCGCTCTTAAGTTCCTCTGGTCTGACCGTCACAACTGCACGGACCTCTGGCTGAGAGGGATGGCGGCGGCAGAACTTTCCTTCTGAAAGTTTACTGCCAGCGTCTCTGTTAACAGGACTGCCTGGAACCTTGTGGAGAGGGGCAGGGCTCTAAGCCGCACTCCAACTTGCCATTCTGGGAGAGAGACCACCCAATTCCAACCCCTTGGATGATGAAATCCCATGCGTTGGCTTTGCAGCAGGGTGTCAACATAGAGAAGACACATAACTGGTCCCCTCCATCCCCAAGCCCAATGTAACGCAGCTGGGGCCAGACTCTCCAGGATTCCTCCATTTGCAGAGCAGCATATTAGGGAAAACTCAATCCTCCTCCTCCTCCCCCTCCCCCTCCTCCGAGCTGCCGTTGGCCAGCTCATCCAGCGCCAGCTCATCCAGCACCCTCTCATGACCCGAGCTTGCTAAGAAGCCTGAGGGAAGAGATGGCATCAGGCAGTCAGGTAGGTCCAGCTGGATGCTACATTACAGAGGCTGATTTACCCTCCTCCTCCTCCTCCCCCTCCCCCTTCTCCTCCTCCCCCTCCTCCTCCTCCTCCTCCTCCTCCTCCTCCTCCTCCTCGTGTTGAAGCGGCCCCCCATCCCAGGTTGTGGCAGGCATGCATAAAAGCTCTGCTTTCAGCAGCCCCCACCCTGGTCTGACACACAGGTACTGGGAACCAAGTGCTACCCAAGGGTTTCACCAACCAGACAATCAGCGCATCTGGAGTTTATCTGCCATCTACGAGTTTTGTGCCGGCACCCGTCCCGTGACACAGACCCCCTCAGTTCATGCTGTATCCCTCTGTGCCACTGATTCCAGGGCCTGCCACAGGTACCGCATCTCTCATTGTCGCTATATCTGACAGGCGACAGGCCAGACTCCTGCAAAGATCTGTCCACCCAGGACTCATCGGCAAAGAGACGCATTTAGTGGGAAATCACAACAGCTTTAGGGAGCGTTATCGAGGTCTCAGCCTTTTCCTGACTCCTTTTTCCCAAGGTTTCCAATTTCCCCAGCTGTGAAGTGTGACTTCCTGGCCAAAGAAGATGCTACAGCTCTTCCCCAGTGTGGCTCCTGTGGAAGATCCGCCCCCCAACACACACAACATCACAGGTGTGGGTGGGCAGAGATAGAAAAAAAAAAAATTTTTTTTTCCCCCGAATGATTTTCTCTTAAGGAGCTAAGGATGACCTCGAAAAAGTTTAGGGAATCTGCTCTTCCCCCCACCCCTTCCTCATTCCCACCCAATTCAGACATGCTCCTTTTCCTCTACCACATGGAGAATTCCCAGGGCTTTGGGTAGGGGTGTAGCACTTGCCTGAGGATTAATATATCCCTATTTGAAAGTCGTGGCAACCACACCCTGGTTGAGGTCGAGCCAGCTACTGTACCCATGACCAATTCCCTTGAGGTCAGGAGGAACCCACTCCCTTGGGCAGCCAGCCCACTCTTGCATGCCCTCATATCCTTCAGGGGGTGCATTACCTCTCCTGGGGCAGAATCTCCCCACCAACCCATCCTGCTCACACCACAATGGGTGTATCAGAGAAAACCGAGCTGACCGATTCCGGATCCGACATCCTCCGCTGGCCCTTGCCGGTTGCCTCGGGCACTGGCAGGGTGTTGCCTGGCTTGAGCTTGCCGTTTTGACCCTGCCCAGGACCAGCAGGTTCCAGGAAGGCCACCCGCCGGTCAAAACCATCGTCCTTGTCCCCACCAGCCATAGGATCGTGGTTGGGGGTGGTGCTAAGCATGGAAGAGCTGAGGCTGTCTCCTTGATGGCTGGACGGTTTCTCGACACCCCGGCACCAGCATCGGCAAGGGGTAAGGTACAGGTATATGAGGACCAGGACCACACTGAGGATGCAGCCCACGAGGGTGGTGTAGGCCGTGTTGAGGGTGTCATGGTGGCCGTGCAGGGTGAAATTATACACTTTCAACTCCACAGACAGCGTCTCGTTGAAAGCGTCCCCCGTGGCGTGGCAGGTATACACGCCCCCGTCCTCAACCCGCACCTGCCGGAAATGAAGACTGCCGTCCTTGGACACCGTCACCGTGCCGTTGGCCAGCTCATCCAGCACCCGCTCATTGCTTGGCGTCACCCACACCTTGGTCATCCCCTGCTGCTTGGTGTCACACTTGATGGTCAAGGTGTCCCCCAGGTGGGCTTCCCAGGCACGCTCCTTGTACTCGCTGCAGTTGAGGAAGCTCAGGTTGAAGACGTTGAGCAGCTTCTTGGAGCTCACGCAATACAGGTCCTCCTGGAAGTCCGTCACGGAGCTCAGCTGCCGGTGCTGCCAGTGTGAGAAGAGCTGGTAGAGCTCACAGTCGCAGTGCAGGGGGTTGTTATGGAGGTACAGCCCGTTCTTGATCCACGCGGGCAGCTTCTGCAGGTCGGGCAGCGGTAAGTTCTTGAGCTTGTTGGACGAGAGATCCAGGAGGGTGAGTTTGGGGAGCTTGGCTCCTTCCTTGACCAGCTCCAGAGGGAAGCGGGAAATCTGGTTCTGGCTCAGGTAGAGTTTCTGCAGCTGGGCCATGTCGTCGAAGGCGCAGCGGTCCACTGCCACGATGTGGTTGTTGTAGAGCAGTAGGACTTCCAGGGCCTGCAGTTCACTGAACAGGAACTCGTCCAGTGTGCGCAGCTGGTTGGAGGAAAGGTCCAGGTAGCGCAGGTTGGGTACGGGGGAAAAGGCCTCGGAGGAGATGAAGTTCAGGTGGTTGTGGCTCAGCAGCAGGGACTGCAGGTGGATCAGGCGCGTGGGGGTCCACTCGGCCCGCAGGCGGCTCAGGTTGTTGTGGCTGAGGTCGAGCAGCGCCGTGTAGCTGGGCAAGGAGTGCGGCACGTTGGGCAGCTGCTGCTTGGAGCAGCTGAGGATGTTGCTGGCGCACAGGCAGGCAGCAGGACAGCTAACCGCCGGCCGGCCGGCCCTGGCCGCCTCGAAGAGGAGCAGGCTCCAGGTCAGCAGCAGGAGCGCGAGGCCTCCCGGGTCGCGCTGGGGTTGCATAGTGTCACTGGGAAGGGCGAGGAAGGCCACCAGGAAGATCGGGGAGAGAGTCACCCGGGCATGTTCTGGTGGGATAAGGAAGGGTCACTTTCACCCCAGGCTTAAGAGAGAGAGGAGGGGATTGCGGTTACCAGGGCCTCTGCAGGTAAGGACTGACCCTTCCTCCTCCCTGTCACACTCCACCCCCACCCCTCCTCCACCCCTATGTTGGGCTACAAGAGAAACGAAGAGATGCCGGGTAGTTCCCAAGCGCTGTGCCAGCAGTGGGCTCAAAACACTGGGCAGAGGAGGCGAGCACAGGGGCCTGCCGGGCTCGGGTCACGGAGTGTAGGATGGGGGTATGCCCCGGATGTTAGTTAGGGGCTGCGCGCGCCGGGTTTGACAGTGGGGTCAGCAGGGCCTCTGGGGAAGAGCCAGGGAAGGTCAACAGGGCACACCTGGCTGGGTAGGGCGCCTACTGCCGGGGTTGAGGGTTCCCGGGGGCCTGTCGGGGCGGGCACCCCCGGGACCGCTGGTCACTGCACCTGCTCGGCGAGGACGTGTCTCAGCCCATGGCGGGTCCGGGAGCTCCGTCGCGGCCTCCCCCAAGCGGCGCCTCACTGGCCGGCCTGTCGCGGCGCTCGCCTCACGCAGGGGCCCGCGCCCGGCCCCATCGCCTCCCGGGGACTTGCCGGGGTCCGCTCCGCTCCCCCGCGCCGCCGCCTCGACCGCTGCACCCGCAGGAGCCCACCGACCACGGCCGCCGCCTCCGGTTCCGCGGGTCCGGCGAGGAGCGCTGCGGGGAGCGGGAGGCGCCGCGATCCGAGCGGAGGGAGCGGCGTGGGGGCAGCGAGCACCGCGCGCGCGCCCGTCGCCGCCGCCGGAGCCTCGGGGCGCGTGCGCGCGGCGGGGGCGGGGCGCACGTGCGTGTGTTTGTGTCGGAGCGGGACGGGCGGCCCCGCGCCAGGTCGTCTTCCCTCCGCGGGAGTCGGGGCCGGGGCCCGGGGACCGAAACCGTCGTCAGCAGGGGATTCTGGCCCCTAGCTCCCCTATTGCTTCCTCCACCTTCTGGAATTCCTGTCACTATCCGCCACCCTTCTGCCTACCGAAACCGCTCCCGGGGAAACTAGGTCTAGCTGGAATGAATGCGAGGCAACTGACTCCGGGACAAGAAGCGTCACATGTCTTCTCATCCTACAAATTAAAGCCACCTGGCTCAGCTCCCGCCTGTCAGTATTGGCGGGAAATTCATTAGTCACGTTCTGAGGTTCCCCCACTTCTCTCTCTAGGACTGTGAAGTCTCAAAAATGTGGGGAAAGATTTGGGGAAGAGCCTTGTTGTGTGTTTCAGTCTTGTTATTATTCCACCATCGTTGGGGTACCACCGAAGGGCACATTTCCGCAGCCTGCAAGCCAGGTGGGCAGAGTGCAGGTAACGGGGAGCGGTCTGTGGTGCATGGCCAGGCCCCAGGATCCCACCTGCCCTGACTACACACATAGACACACACACACGGCCCCAGGATCCCACCTGCCCAGACTACACACATACACACACACACACACACACACACACTCTTACTTCCAGGCCCCAGGATCCCACCTGCCCTGACTACACACACACACACACACACTCTCTCTCTCTCTCTCTCTCTCTCTCTCTCTTACTTCCAGGCCCCAGGATCCCACCTGCCCAGACCACACACCCACACACGCACCACACTCTCTCTGTCTCTCTTACTTCGTTTAAGACAGGGACGGGCTTCCACTTCTGGAAACTCCAAAACCTTTCCCATATGGAGCAATTCCAACATATTTTCTCTATTACCTAATCCTCAAGATAAAGCTGGGATGGCGGGGTGGTCTTCTTTAAGAAGCTGGGGTTTTGGGGGCGCCTGGGTGGCTCAGTTGGTTGAGCGACTGCCTTCGGCTCAGGTCATGATCCTGGAGTCCCGGGATCGAGTCCCACGTCAGGCTCCCTGCTCGGCGGGGAGTCTGCTTCTCTCTCTGACCCTCCTCCCTCTCATGCTCTCTGTATCTCATTCTTTCTGTCTCAAATAAATAAATAAAATCTTTAAAAAAAAAAAAGAAGCTGGGGTTTTGGTTTTTTTTTTTTTAGATTTTCTTATTTATTTGAGAGAGGAGTGGGGAGAGCACATGAGTGGGGAGGAGGGCAGGGGGAGAGGAAGAAGCAGAGGCTCCACTGAGCCCGGAGCCCAAGGTCGATCCTAGGACCCTAAGATCATGACCCCAGCTGAAGGCAGAGGCTTAACGGGCTGAGCCACCCAGGCGCCCCTTAACACCAAGAAGCTGTTAACCAGTGTGTGGTGGTGGGGGTTCGGCATGGAGTGAGGCAGTTGTAAGAAGAGCTTAGACCTTATAACTCAAGACTATAGCTGTTCTTGGGATGGTAGACCCTGAGGGAGAAATTACCTTTTTATTCTTTCCAGTCTCTTACAACAGCAGGAGCAAGACTGAAATTAATGTCTCAATACATTAGCCTGCTAAGTTTTAAAAAGAAAGAATTTATATCTGTCACATATGTTTTACATTGAATTTAAGTGAATGTATTATCTCTTCAAGGGGTATTAGCATGTTAACCTTATGCGTAGTGTGAAAGGTCTTTTCCTGTTCATTTGAGGCATTGGTGATAAGGTGGGGAGAGTATTCAGGGAGTAGGAAATACTGAGATGACGTTGCATCAGTACTCTATTGCTGCATAACAAATTACCCCAAAACTCAGTGGCTTAAAACAACCACATACATTTATTGCCTTTCATGGTTTCTGTTGTTCAGAGATTCAGGTGTGGCTTGGCAGGCAGTTCTGACTTGGAGGTCTCTCAAGCAGTTGCAGTCATATGTCAGGTGGAGCTATGGTCGTTGGAAGGCTTGACTGGGGCTAGAAAATCCACTCCACAGAGGCTTGCTTATGTGACTCGCTCTTGCAGCTGGCTGTTGTCAGGAGGCCATAAAGACCTCTCCACAGGCCTGCTTGAGTGTCCTCCCAGCATGGTAGCTGACTGCCTTTAGAGCAAGAGATCCAAGAGAGAGCAAGGCAGGAGTCACAATGACCTAGCTCTCCAAGGTCATGTCTGCTATCTCCACCTTGGTCACATGGACCAGCCCTGATTTAATATGAAAGAAGACTACACAAAGGCATGAATACTAGAAGGAGAGGATCATTGGGGGCCATCTTGGAGGTTATTACACACATCATCTTTGAAATCACATCCAGTTTTTAATTTTGAAAAATTTCAAACATATGCAGAGGTAGAGAAAATAGTACAATGAACTCTCATATACTCATTATTCATATTCAGTAATTATCAAGGGAATTCCATCATTTATTTTGTATGAGTATCCCTGAGACACGTGTTCTTCCCATCCCATTCCTTACCCCCACCCTATACTTAGACCACTTAGACTAGTCCTTAGAGCCCTTTCTGTTTAAGGGATAAAGGAGAGGCAGATATAAAGACAGAAGGCCCCTTGGGGTGCCTGGGTGGCTCAGTCAGTTAAGCAGCTACCTTTGGCTCAGGTCATGATCCCAGGGTCCTGGGATCCAGCCATATGGGGCTCCCTGCTCAGCAGTGGAGTCTGCTTCTCTCCCTCTCCTTCTGCCCCTCCCCACCGCTAGTGCTCTCTCTCTGTTTGAAATAAATAAATAAATAAATAAAATCTTTAAAAAGGAAAGAAAGCAAGAAGCAAGCAAGCAAGCAGGCCCTTTATGCTGGACACCAGTTTCAAGTGTGGGTGTCTGCAATTCGGAGAGGTTACTGCAAATAGGGTCCTCAGTCAATCCTTTTTTTTTTTTTTCAGCTCATCCAGAAGTGACCATGCCATTTTCAAATTTTAATGTGCATACAGATCACCTGGGGATCTTGTTAACATACAGTTTCTGAATCAAGAGGCCTGGGATGGAACCCAAGAGTCTGTATTTCTAACAAACTAATAAGGTGATGCAGACCACACTTTGAGTAGCAAGATCTAGAGCTGTGCTGTCCAAATTGGTAGGCACTGGTTACCAATTAAATTACCATTTAAATTAATTAATTAAAATTAAATAACATTGTAAATCGCCTCTTCAGTTTCCCTTGACGCATTTCAAATGTTCAATAGCCACATGAGGCTAGCTACCCTATTGAACAGAATCACGGGGGCACCTGGGTGGCTCAGTTGGTTAAGCGACTGCCTTCGGTTCAGGTCATGATCCTGGAGTCCCTGGATCGAGTCCTGCATCGGGCTCCCTGCTCAGCAAGGAGCCTGCTTCTCCCTCTAACCCTCCCCCGGTCATGTACTCTCTCTCTCTCTCTCTCTCTCTCTCATTCTCGCTCTCTCAAATAAATAAATCTTTAAAAAAAAAAAAAAAGAAAAAGGAATCACGGAAAGTTCCACTGGATGGCGCTGGCACTGAGAATTGATTGATGCTGACTCTCCCACAGCTGCTTTCTAGACCAGAATAACTATCTATTAATTCACAACAAAAAGAAGACCTTGGTAGGATAAACAGGTTAGTGGGTGTTTATTTCCTCTTGCTGGAATGGTTCAACCCAGTGTTCCTAAATACAATTCAGAAGATTGTTTGAGCAGTTCAGCATTTGAGCAAAAGAGGTTGGATAGGTCTACTATAGGTTCTGAGACTCGATGATTACTTTTTTCTATACTAGAAGGAGTTTTTTCTTTTCTCAATAGCTAGTACTGGCCAACAGACTCAGAACTGGAGAACACTGGAGGAAGGCACCCTATTAAGAAGCTACCTTTGACTCCGTTTTAAAGACTCCGTGAGGGGGCACCTGGGTGGCCCAGTCAGTTAAGCATCTACCTTCGGCTTAGTTCATGATCCCAGGGACCTGGGATCCAGCCCCATGTCAGGCTCCCTGCTGAGCAGGGAGCCTGCTTCTCCCTCTTCCTCTGCCTGCAGCTCCCCCTGCTTGTGCACGCACTCTCTCTCTCTCTCTGTCAAATAAATAAAATCTTAAAAAAAAAAAAAGAGTCCATGAGGCTGGCCACCCTTCTTTAGGACAATGTAGTCTAAAGAAGGGTGCTGGGTGCACTTAGGTGTTCCTTTCTGTGTGATCCATTTCACGTTGTGTGTGTGTCCTTATAGCACTTCTCACCTACTCTTTTGTCTGTTTACAGGTCTGCCTGCCCATTAGATTGTAAGCTCCTTGAGAGCAGGGATTTGCCCCGGGTCTGGCTAGTAGTAGGCACTCAAAATATGTTTGTTGAATTAACATTAATTAACAATTGCATTAAATTAGTACATTTATTTTTGTAAAAGATTTTATTTATTTATTTGGCAGAGAGAGACACAGCGAGAGAGGGAACACAAGCAGGGGGAGTGGGAGAGGGAGAAGCAGGCTTCCCGCGGAGCAGGGAGCCCGATGTGGGGCTAGATCCCAGGACCCTGGATCATGACCTGAGCCAAAGGCAGAGATGCTTAATGGACTGAGCCACCCAGGCACCCCAAATTAGTACATTTATTATATGTTAGTCTCAGTGCCTGATGTAGAAGTAAGGATAAGCATAGGATTTGGGCTTGGACAAATCACAGCTGTACACAGGCTGTGTGACTTTGGGTATTTCACTTTGTTCTACTAAATCTCATTCTGTATCTGTAAAATGGGAACAATAACAGCATTTGAGCTCACTTCATAGGGTTATTGTGGGGGATCAAATGAGCTAATGTTTGTGAAAGTGCTTTATCATTTTTAAGTATTACCTTTTTAAAAAAAATCCTAGTTTTCTCCATAAGAGTCGGGAGATCCCTTGGTCTTGCTGTCCACCTGTATATAAATTACCTTACCCAATTATCTGCCTTGTTCCCACATTCTAGGGTATTGCTTGTTTGGAGCATACATTCAGATTTACAAGATCTCCTTCACTGGCTTATCTTTTACAATTTAAAAATATTTACAAATTTTAAACAAAAATTTAAACTTAAAAAAATTAAAAAAAAAATTTTAAACATTCTTGGGGCACCTGGGTGGCTCAGTCAGTTAAGTGTCTGCCTTCAGCTCAGGTCATAATCCCAGGGTCCTGGGGTCGGAGTCCCACATTGGGCTCCTTGCTAAGCGGGGAGTCTGCTTGTCCCTCTCCCTCTGACCCTCCCCCCATGCTCTCGCTCTCTCTCT